TCTGAGAGCTGTTCGAATCTGTATTCGATTTCTGCTTAGCGCCTTTGTGGAAGAAGTTATGAGCACTGTTATTTCGAAAAAAATTGCACATAAAAATTGCGAAAGTAGGCACACTGTTGCACTTTCACCTCATTTAACCTTTGAGCATATAGAGTAAGCTAGCTACATGTTCTGACCCAGCACTAAACCGAACATGGGTATGTACTGCCAAATTTGCGCTTTGCATGCACGATTTCTCAGCAAAATGACGGCGGCCATTCCCTTGTAAAAATTGCTCTCTAATGCGTTCCGACTTGATAACCACAACTACAGTTGAGAGGCGTACTGTGTAACCAGGGTTAAGCGTGAGGTGTGGCCGCCCCTAATGGGTCGCACTGAGGAATCAGAGAGCGGGGTCGTACTTGCGGTGAAGGCATAAAAGTTTCTAGAAGAGCGTAAAGAACCGACTGGGGGGGGGGGGACAGAGAAGGTCTCGAAAATGTGTATGCACCTCTCTGATGGGCACACTATGCCAAGACTGGCCCTGCTACTACTGCCATGGTTTTCCTAACAGATCCTTGATTTGCGAGCACATCATTTCGAAGATCCCAATATGCAAACTAGGCACATTCCGAGAGTTTGTATCCTTCAAATACCGTAACCAACAAGAAGGGCTTACAGGACAACTTGTATCTATCATTCTTGTAGTGGAGTATAAAATAATCCCTATGGAGAGAGTTCAAGAGAAGCAGATTTTCAATGGATGACCTTGTATTCTATAGTCATAAACATGATTAACTTACTTTGTGAATAATAAATCACCTCTCTTTAATTCAGTACAATCTATATTTTTTGAAAAAAAAGGCATAATGGTTTATGTTGTTCCGAATATTCTGCCGCTTCGGATTTGGGAATCCTCAAAATTCTCATGTCCCCATTCTTTGGCGTTGAGTTGGTATAAAGCAAGTTACGTGCTTTGTATTGGCTTCTTGAAAACTTTCTACTGAATATTGATTGTTGAGATAAAAAATGTAGAAGACAAGCATCAATAGAACTTTGAACATTTCATGACAGCAGGTTGCCAGAAATTTATGATGCTGCAATAAATTTCGAAAACCAGTCCTCTATTTGAGCAAATTTGATGTTGAAACTTCTCTGAAAAGTGATGACTTTTGAGCTCAAATTCGAAAGCTATTGCTGGAAACTGATTATTTTTCTCGAAAGCTATTGCTTTTCGTCAGAATATGTTACCAGCATTTCTTCTCATTCGAAAGGAGTAGGTCAGGAATCCTATATCCTAAATCTCTGTTAGTAACGCATTGTAATTCCAACGTTTAGATTTTTGGCAACATGGCTTTAGATGATTAAAAAGTTTTCGTCCACTTCAGCTTCTGTTTTCAGATTTGTATTCAAAAGAGGTTCCAAGAAGTCTTGAAAAGCACATCTTTCTAGCAAGATCAGTTCTGAACGAAGCGATTAAAATAGCAAAAACAATCAAAATGAAGTGATAGACCTTTAACGCAATGTTTGAGGAGACTCGAAAGAGTATCGCATTCCATACATGTCATAACTAGATTATTTATTTGAAAAATGGTGAGGCAATATGAGGCGACGAATACATTTTACTTATCATAAATTTTGCTTTCAGTGATTTCCATTACATCCTTTGCAAGGGCTTACATTTACATTTTCATTTTTCATTTTTTTCCTACATTTATTATTTCCTGGGTATTTCCAAGTGTAAAAACAGCATGATGTCAAGATTGGCGAAAAAGAAATATTTGTATGATGTGATACAGTTGATCATTGGGGAGGGAGGGGGTACAAGTGGTGAAGTGGCATGAGAGCCGGCCGGGACTGGTCCGACCAAAGCTCGACACCCGCCCTCCAGCCCCCAAGACCGCCAATATGCTAGTACGGTAAACTGGACCAAAGTGAACCAACTATAAGATGAACGTCGTAGAATCTTCGCTGTTATAGGTTAGCAATAACGACGAACCTTTTGTACTTATCATCGGATTTCCTCTTAATGTTCCCTTACATTTTCCACTTCCTTTAGTGTTCATATTTTATGACTGTTTTAGAGTCCGTTAACAATATTTCTTGTCTCTTTGCAAAGGCTTAGGCCTGGGCTTAGGCTTAGACTTAGCCTTTTTGTTCTGCATTTCCTGGGTATTTCATGATGTAGTCAAAAAAAGCATGATGTCAAGATTGGCAAAAAAAATGTTTGAATGATGTGATACAGCTGATCGGAGGGCAAGCGTTAGGCGACAAAACGTTCAGAACGCAAGCAACGCAAAGCTCCTAACTCAAAACTATACGCCATTTTTCGATGGCGTCGGGTAATGTATCGGCCCGACCCCCCCCCCCCCCCACCCCCTGTTTTTGGCGCCGGAGACGTTTTGCACTGGAAGTATTTTGGGGTTCAAGAAATTAGATTTGTCGCCTAATGCCCTACACCTCAGCTGATCAGGGGGGGGGGGAGGGGCAAGTGGTGAAGTGGTATGAGGCGCCGGAACCGACCCAGGGTTCAACTCCCGCCCTCTGACCCCCAAGACCTCCAATAAGCTGAAATAGTGAAGTGGACCAGAGTGATCCGATAATAACATCAATACCGTGGAAACCGTGCGAAATAAAATACGTTATCAATAGGGGCGAATCTTTACTTTTCAAAAAAATTTCTCGACATGATTTTTACGTTTTCAACCTTCTATGTGTTCATATTGTATAGATGTTTTAGAGTACGTTGTTTCTTGTCTCTTTACAAAGTTTCTTGACGTTGTCTTGAGCTGTTTTGAATCTAGTCCATAAACTTTACAAACCTAGAGATTTATGGGTTGGAGATCTTGTTAATGTACATTTGTTTGTTTGTTTGTTTTTTGCAGTAAATGGCATATATTCGCTACGATATACATTTCGTTACATACCCTTCCTACCAGCCTATAGTGTAAGTCATGGAAACTGCACATATCTCTCCCGAATGGATCGCTAGAATATGGTAGTAGAATAAATGTACAGCTTTCTTTATCGCTTCCAAGAGCAACGATATGTTGTTTGTTGGTTCATTAGGCAACTAATTAACTTTCGCAACTAAATAACTTCCCTCTTTGGATATGGCGCTCCTCTAACACTGTATATGTCAGAATGTGAACTACAAATACAGTCACTAAATATCTATAAAGTTCTGCGATCGCATGCGAAGATTACATCGGTAAAAGAGTATATAGAAGGCAATTTTTTAGGGACAAAAACACAAATTGTCATTGATTGGGACGAAACTTGGTCAAGGGAGAGGAGATACTTAACATGTTTCACGAAAACGATGTCTCGATCATGTGAGCCTTTGAGGTCTTTCTGTAGGAACCGTGAATCATGGTACCATTTTCACCCATGGTAACAGCGATGATCGTGGTCGTGTTCATTGGGGTAATTTAGCCTACTACACAAAGTTCGACGAAGTCTGATGATTTTTGAAACAATGTTAACAAAGTTGACTTGTTCAACTTTTCGATGGCGTTAGATCTCTCAAATCTCTATTTCTGTCTGTCTCAAACTTCCATTTCTTCGATATACTTATTATGTAGCACTAGTAACCAGGGCTCGGCACAGGCGGCTTACAAGCAAGCTGGATATCGTTTTCGGGATGAAAAGCAAAGGGGGTTTCGTTTTTGTGACCGAAGAGAGTCGCAAAATTGGCGACGTTTTTTCTAGTCGACGTTTCATTTTTTGGGGGACTTTAGGGAATAATTTTTCAGGTTTTTAGAGGAAATTTGGTTGGGGGTCAAAGGGGACTTCGTAAAAATTTCCAAAAGTCATGGGGAACTTCGTTTTTTCCACTTTCATTTAGCCATCTTGCGCCGAGCCCTGCTAGTAACTTTATTCATAGTTCCGGCTCAGCTATATTCACGTTATGCACAGCATGTTCTTGCAAAACCTCGAATCTCACTCCTTCCCCGAAGTTGCTCAATTTTTCTACTTTGTTATCGAGAAGCAAACGGTCTGTATACATTCGTAGCTCGCATCACAGTCAAAATGATACCGAAATTTGAGTGCACCTTATGCAAAAAGAGAACCTTCCCTGCATGAAAAAAGTCTTGAAAATCATGTGGATTGGTGCAAATTGAATGAGCATTTGCCAGGCCCACGACGACTCAATCCATCAAACATTCTTTTTTGAACAGGCTTAACATACTGCTGAGAAGCTTGTTTCATGCTTCATCTAATATTTATTGAAGCGGGGTTTTAAGCTCATCTGCTGAAAATGTACAGAGCTCTGTTCAACCACACCCAAAACCAAAATTTTATTGTCGTCATTTTCTGGCCAGAATTTGAAAGCAAATGATGGCGCTCATCCGGAAATTTAATTGCATGTGATAAAAATTATCTACATTACGCACACTTGACTATTTTCTCTAAAATCCAGAGATATAGCGCCTCAACACGGGTAGTTTTTGCGGTCATTCTATGGCCCAGAAGTTTTCTTATGAAGAAGGCAATCGTCATGGCTTTGCTCATTTCTGTAAACATAAAGGTGGGGAGTTCTGTTAGAAATTTCAAACATTTATCCGTTCTGCAATAGAAAACTGGTAAATCATAATTCGGGACTCTAAGGCCAATAAAGAAATGTTGAAAAAAGCTGACGATTTTAGATTTCGATATTTTTTCTCTTAGCAAATCTTCTTTGTCCAAGCTTTCTTTAATTTGCATCTGTTGGCTACAAAGTAGCTACTTATCGTTGATAATTTCATTTCATTTATTACATAGGATAAACCTATGTTAAAGCAACAGTAAAACAAAATTCCAGAACAAAACGGAATAAACACAACAAAATAATGACAAAAGATAATGACAAACTTTTGAAGGGAATTATGACTTGTCAAAGCTTTGTAGAAACTTTTTGTCTGTAAATCCAATTTTTCTTCTGTGATATGTACATATGTGGCTGTTTTACAAATGCTTTGCTGCTTCTGATTATCTTTATCGCATTCGAAAATGTAGATTTCTAATAAGTTATGGCACATCAAAGCGAGAATTTGTGATATTTGCCAACCTATTATTTGCAACAAGGAAACCAAACATCACCAGAATGGAGAGATTCTTGAAAAACCAAATTTAGAAAAAAACTATTTCAACTGTGGACTTGTGACATCTGCGACCGAATCATCCGCTTTGATTTTGTCATCCGCGCCTGGGCTTTTGCGAACATCGTCTACATCTTTCTCCAATCTTTCCTGAGCAGGACTTTCTTCCTTGCATTCAATTCTGTCAATTCCTTTAATATAAGCATTTTTGTACTGATACGTAGGGCGGCCTTGCTGATAAACGATGAGATTGTCAATTTTCCTTTTCAGTGTATGATCCGAACTTCGGATCACACATAACGAATGCCACAACTGATACCATATCCCGCGAGGTGGAGACTGAAATTGCGTATGTTGCAAAATTTCGATATTCTACAGTCTCTGCGCATCTTATTCTAGAAGATGGACAAGAATAGAGAACCTGAAGTTATATGGTCATAAGCTATCTAGAATTACCTGTTTATCGTTTGTAACGACGTCACGTCGTGAGGCCATCTCGCACACAACAAGAATGATGGTGACACCGAGCCCAATCACCTGGGACAACAATTTCACATCTACAAATAACTTCGAGTCTACCCTACCAAAATGATAAAAATTCCGCCAATGCTGCCGCCATCGTCGGTACCTTTCTTGACAACAGCTGGACAAACAACATTTTTGTCCTTAAATATAAAGTGGTTCACGTCAAAGTCGAGACCTAAATGCTATGATATTACCTTCCACCACTTCTCTTTGAGTTCCGTCAAAACGGTTTTCTCTTGAAGTCGTAAAATTGCTCTTGATATTTCTTCTCGAAATGGAGATCCTGGACGAAAACGAAAACTCAATTTAGTTTGCGAATAGGGTGTTTAGATGAGGCCACTTTTGATTTTGTGTTACATGCTCTTCTGAACTTCTTTGTGTTTTTGGGGATTCATCAATCTTGTGCGTTGGAATTACTAGCACATAAAAAAAGATTTAGAGTCATTATTTCAGAAATTCATATTCAAATCGTGTATGCATAGCGTGAACGAATTGCATAAATGTTACGACTGAAGGCAGTATAATCTGCCGAATAGAGGGATGATTGTGCTCTCTTTTTCGTTCTAAATGAGCATCCAGTTCGGTGTTGGTAGGCTCGACACGAGATGGCTCTGGCGATTTTTTAGAAATAAAGTACCCGTTGATTCCGCAGCAGAAAGGAAGTTGCAGGAAGGAGGAAGTTGCAAAACTTATTGTTAAGTTATAACTTATATAACATATAAAAGTGCGTGAATGCTTAGATGGTCAAAAGCATAAGCTGACTTGACAACGGCAGCCTAACTTCAAAAAGAAAACGAATGATGTTTTTAGTTTTTGCGAACGTTATGTAGACTGATCATTTTGCGATTTATAATCAACTAGCTGGCTTACCCGGAGTGGACTGTGACACCCGTCGGGGCCCGAAGTGTATGTGTGCCAAGTTTGGTCCGGATCGGTTCAGAAATGGAATTTTCTATTCGGAACATACGTACACACAGACAGACAGACAGACAGACAGACAGACAGACAAACAGACATCCAGCTTTATATATAAGATGTTCCACAAAACTTCGCATAAATATCGTGCATCCTCCAGAATTGTTCCCATATAAACTATCAACGAGTCTGCCTTTCGATCGTTGCAACACGTTAACTCCAGCAAATTTAAGGCGCTTATTCGAAGTTGACATGTTAAAATAATCGGAAGACAGCCACGTTAATGGTTCACAGAAGGAACAGTTCTGGGGATGCACCATAACCTTTGATTCAACTGGCTTGGCTTCGGGAAGGCGGGGCTTTATGACGTAATTGAGGTCGCTCGCGCCCCCAACGCACCTGCGTCTCTCTCGCATGAGTGCTCTCTGATCACTAGCTAGCCTTAATTAGGTCACGGAGCCCCGCTTCCCCGAAGCCAAGCCAGTTGAATCAAATGGTACGTCGCTGCGCATGTCACCGGCGCCTAGGAGCGCCTTTGGCTCTTTTCCAACATTTTTTTCTGAACCTATATGAACAAGGAATCTTCACCTTTTGGTAACCCAATTCCATAACCTTTCTGATCGAGCAAACCTCCGATCTGCATCAGCTCACAGTCGCGTTCAACCGCATATTCTAGCATCGAAGATTCCATAAGATAGGCATAGTCCGAACTCTAGGAAGAGGGTAATTGGTAAAACAACTTTTCTTATGATGGGATACCTTCACTCGAGCAATACCCTCTTTCGAAGAGTTAACGAAATAAGCAGGATTACTAGACATCAGCTTCCACATTCGCTCATAAGTCTCTATCTTGGACTCCTTTAAATAGCAAGAATCAGGATCGTGAAAAAATTTAAGAGTGACGTTTACATTGAAAAAAGACATCGTCGAGCCTCGTCCAAGTGTACCGTACTTGATTTTCGTCTGCGAAGACAAGTCGTCCGCATTTTCGATAGGGGTCAACTAGACACCAGTTCTTAGTGATGGAAAGAATGTCCAAAGGCTCACCATTCGCTGAGTGGTAAGAAAAGCTGCTAGATTGGCAGTATAGGACGAAAGCAAGATCATCGTGAAAAACCACCATACAGCAGTCGCAACTCTCATACTTGGAGCTCTAGGAGACAGCTCACTTCCCTGACATGTAATTAATCAAAATCACAGATTAGCAAATCTCATAATGGATATAAAGGCTGATGCATGACGAAAGCGCACAAGCAGCATTAGTTGAGCGGGCGCGAACGTTGCGCGCGTATCTTCACCATTGTAAATCCTGCGCCTCATGCGCTCTGCGGCTAATGAAACTGCGTTCGCGCCCAAAGATATTGCGTCTTCGTCATGCAGCAGCCTATATGTGGAGACGTGAGTTAATAAACTGGTAATAGAGTATAGACGTAACAGCCGCACTGCAGCCGCTACGCTGCAATCACGCCGATATAAGTGTGAAAGAATCAGTTAATCGAGGAGCTGTCAAAAGCGAAATATGAAAATTTTTTATCCGTAACAAGCTTACTATGCTCATCTACACCTCTGCCAACTTTTAGCTTGCCAGAGCGCTGATTAGAAAAAATCAATAAATCGATGAAGCCACCTAATATATTTTCGCGTAAATAGCTTATTAACATCCGCCTCTCCCTGAACTTTATGTTGGAGATGTTTGGTACACATGTCTTGATTCTTTCGAGCATTTTAGGCCGATCTTTGAAAAAAAATCAAATCCAGATATCATATTAGGTCGGCGCGGAAGTTATTGCGTAATTCAAGCAGAATTCAATAACTTTCAGAGTACAACTAAATTGTGGTTCGGTATTTCAAAAATAGAGGAGTTTGTGCTCCATGATGTTGATGATGTTTAAGCTAAACATTACGCGTGTTGGCCGCCGAGAACGAAGGTTTAAAAAATGACTATTCAAATTTTGCGATTCTGAGTTTGGTGCTAGAAATCGCGGAGGGCCGCTAGCCAGGCTAAAAAATCTGTAAAAATTCCTGACACACCAAAAGCCCACAGGTTACTTTGGCAGGATTTGGTCTCGTATGGAAATGCAAAAACAAAAAATTGTTTAAAATGTTTTTTAAAGGAAAAAATCACCTTATCGCTGCAGTTTTATCGCAGGAAAAGTTTGGAACTAGAATTTCGACCTAGTGCCTAAATGGAACATTGTGACGCTTTTCGGAGCGTCGGACAGTGTTTTTGCTGGAAAAGGTACTGTGATAAGGGATTTTCCTCCAACATGACTTATTTTCATATTTTTGTTTTTGCCTTCCCATGAAAGGAAAACCTGCTACAGTGACATATGGACTTTTGGTGTGTAAGGATCTTCTCCAGATTTCTTTAGGCCACTTGCTGCCCTTCGCGATTATCTAGCACAAATTGAAATCGCAAGATTTAAAACGCCATTTTTGAAAGCTTCGTTCTCGGTGGCCAACTTATAATAGTTAGGTTTAAAAATCAGTTACGGAGCGCAGACCTTCCTTTATTTTCGAGATACTGAATTATCAGTTTAGGTCTGTTCTTTGGAAAGTTTTGAAATTTGTTTGAGCTACGCAGGAACTTCCGTGCCAACCTAATATAAGCTGAATTTCTGCTTGCTTTAGTCCAACGCAGGTATTCTCTAAGAGCTGGCATTCAGAGCGGTCATATCTGTCTTTGTGTTGAGCAGTTCTTTGGCTATCAGACACATATTGAAATCTGCGAAAATCCTTGTTGAGGAATAAGTAAGAACTCAAAACTTTTTTGACATGGCAATGCTCTCTTATGAGAATTGATAGATATCTTGTTTAACAATGGATAAATAGAGAATTTTTCGCAGATTATTTTGGGACATAAAAGAGCCCATAGGGTCTGCGTTGCCGAGAGATTTTTTTGACCGAGTAAAAAAGAAGCCATTTAACCTCGCCTCAGTGCATGTGTGCATGCCTATTTACGAGTTATGAAAATTTTACAGTTAGCGTGAGCGCCGAAAAGAAGTTGGTGGATGGTCTCTGCTAGCCCTTGCTTTACTCTGGCACCTTCAATTCTGAAGCCGTCGACTACTTCTATTCGCAGAAAGTTATTGCTTGTAAAACATTTATACAGAAAATTAATGTGTAACAATAAATTTCACCAGCAAGACGTTTCCTTCAGGAAACTGAACTTATGCGTATGCTAGCCTGTTACACCCTTATTCCGCAACCAACTGAAAAACTTGACCTAAAGGGCGCATTGTGGAGATTTCCTGGCAAGAACATATTTCTAGGGTGAGAACGTACCTCGGCCACATGAAGATTTTAGGCCTGAAATCTCCTTACACTAAGAAGTTCGTTGAAGTTTGATATGACTTAGAAAGTGCAAGAAAAGCACTTTCTAATGATACTAACAATACCGCATTAGAGATGAAATTCTCTTAGAACAGCTACTTCAAAAATAAGGCAAAAAAATTCGGACAGAACTTATGCAGCACCCTAATACTAGTGCACCAGTGACGTAAAGATTTGCAGCCGCTTTCGCTGTGGGAGCCGCGCGTTTCCCGCTGTTCCTTTTGAATAGGCAAAACGATTCTTTATATATAAACTAGCTGGCTTACCCGGCTCCGCCGTATGTTCCGAATAGAAAATTCCATCTTAACCGATCCGGACCAAATTTGGCACACATACACTTCGGGCCCCGGCGGGTGTCAAGTCCACTTTTCGTTATCGATCGATGTCGATTTTATCGATTCTTTGCAAAATTTGAGCTACGGGGCTGGGAGTTGGCACAGGGTGGGGGGTAATCGAGCATGCTGATCACCCCCGTGGGGGTGATCAGCATGCTCGATTACCCCCCCGCCAACTCCCAGCCCCGTAGCTCAAATTTTGCAAAAAGTCGATAAAATCGACATCGATCGATAACGAAAAGTGGACTGTGACACCCGCCGGGGCCCGAAGTGTATGTGTGCTAAGTTTGGTCCCGATCGGTTCAGAAATGGAATTTTCTATTCAAAACATACGTACACACAGACATACAGACATACAGTCGAGTAGATTTAGCGGTAAATATAGTGTGCTTGCACAGAAGGTGAAATGCGGTAAAATTGGCGCGTGAAGAAATAGTTTCGACTGTGACGCCGGCCAATTGCGCGCGCAAGATACCCGCGCTACTGACGTGGCTACTTGTTCAAGCGCAAATTTCACCGCATTTCACCTTCTGTGCAAGCACACTATATTTACCTCTAAATCTACTCGACTGTACATACAGACATACAGGCAGACAAACAGACATTCAGCTTTATATATAAGATTCCGACTTTTGCCTATCCGGTGCTTAAATAACAATATAAGCAAAAACTCACTTGCTGCATCAGCGAGCAAACCGTGAACCAGCATGAGTTACGGAAACTGAACTGATTATCGACTCTGTCCCAACGTCCAGTCTCATTATTATGTACCAGTTTCTCAAATGGTGTGATTCTGAAAACAAAGGAAAAGGTTGTGGAGTACATCCTAGTAGATTTAACGGGTGTACTTACGGCGACGACAACATCTGCGTGGAAATAAATGTTGTAATGTTGTAAATGCTGGCAAGTTGCTTGCGACTTGCGTGAAATAATGGGCACATTGAGCACATTGCCATTGTTTACGCGCAAATGTTGTCAGTAACGCAATAATTAATATTAAAACTGCTGAACTATAAACACCTACTTAGCAATAAGCCACAGCGCAACCGATGTGATGACGTAGGATGCAAAGGTACACAACCATACTTCCCAACTAAGAGGCCAGAGAAACATAAACCAATCTGTTTCCGTCTTCTGTGGCTTCTGGAATTATCACTCCCAATTTGTTGGATCCCCAAGTCTCTTTGTGCACATGCACAACTTTTGAATGCTCGAATGGATTGGCAGAGCCCGGAAGCGCTGTATTATGTCAATTTTTTCAAAGCACACCTGATCTCAATGATAACGACGACTGCTCTACGACGGGGACTTCCGGTACAAGTACACCAAGTAACTCAGCACAGCATCACTTATCAGTGGCGGACAAGGGGCGGGCGGGGGGGGGGGGGGATTTTTGAAAGTTGCCTACATGAGTTTTGAAATCGCGCAAGTGGCTGCTTTTTACTCAAACAATCGCAAAGTACTTCCGGAGAAAATTGAACTTCTAAAACTTCCGGGATGGACGCTCCTACTGGGCTGTGTGGGTGAGCCCCGCCCTATCTGGCAGATCCAGTAAGAGTGTGCCCCCCCCCCGGGAAGTTGTACGACTTCATTTTTCCCGGAACTATTTTGCGATTCTCTGAGTACTTGTGAATATACGGGCTGAAATATTTGGAAAGCTTCCCAGTCGAAGAGTGCGTCTTCCCCCTCCCACCTTCCAGAAAAATCTCGGAACTCTTCTGCTAGTTGTACGCGCAAAAGCTCTTACCTTAAATAGTATGGATATTCCAAGGTGCATATATGGTACGGTAAAATCAATGACTTCGCTGCGACTGTAGCTTATAGTCAACGAGGCGACTGCAAGGTCCGCTTCCTAAAAACACAGCTTTGAGTGTAAGCGATTGGACGCAATATCTGTAAATCAGGGTGCCTAGAATATCATGTGAATGAAAGGTTGAACTAGCGACTATGGGCTCGTATGATGAATTCGTAGTTTTCTGACTCTTGCCGAGCCCGTACTTCTTGTGAGGCGACTCCTTCAGAGCTAATCAATCAGCGCACCGCAGTCGAGGAAGCTGATTGGTTAGCTCTAAAAGGTACGGGCAGTTTTTACATAAGAAGCCCAGGTATAGGCGAGTCGAAACACGCAGAGACAAGTCGCCGTGCGGACCACGCTCTGCGTCTCTCTGATGGAGCGCACTTTCACTCCTCCTACCATCTGCCGTCTCTCCAAAAGCGATTTTGGTAGGACGCAATGGCGTCCATCTCCGTGATATGAGTGGCTTATAACTCGGTTTGCCTCAATTCTATCTTCAAAATTGTAAATCAAGCGACCTAGTAAATTACCCCATTAATCAGTTCTCCGACCATGCCGTTCCATTTGCCATTTTCTTCGCGAATGCCGTAAGCTTTGTCCTTGACTTCATGTATAGTATAGTTGAACTTACATAATGCGGCTATTCTCTAAAAACCTAAAATATCGAAGAAATCAAAAATAATGGGAATACCTGCAATAGATCAATGCAATATCCTTCGTACTTGTCGTTCTCATCCAGCTCGTTTTTTGGGTCTTCGCGCTGCATTACGAATGGGGCTTCCTATAACATGGCAGATTTTTAGAAGTACTAGTGAACCAGCAATCTAAAGGTGCTATTGGCAAGAGCGTTCGCTTCGAGACCGCGCCGCAGTTTTTCGCTATGTGCACATTTTTGAATTGCGCTTACGATTCTTTATATATTAGATAGTGAGGCGAAGTATTAGGTTGTAACAGAATTGATGCAGGTTTTCCACACCTTTTTTCCAAAGTGTTGGTTCAAAAACAAAATCCCATTGTCTTAGGAAACTATGCATACCTTCTAAAAGCACTCTTCTTCTAGTTTCTTAGACATGCTTTCGTTTCAGGAGATTTGGGTTCATTTCGAAATTACGTGTTTTTGAAATCAAGAGACTAAACCTTGAAATTTTTTCATTTTACACTCTTTGCTCTAAATCCACCGCGAAAAATCAGAATTTTTTGTAAACTGGCACAGTGTTTCTATGTGATCTGTGCTACAAAATGCACATCAAAGCAGATTTCTCGAAAGCTTTCAGAATGAATCTTATTTCAAACCCACACAACCGCTGCTATCAATCTGCGGCGTATAAAAACCCTAAATGCGAAGCAGTTGCGGAGCTTTCGCCGTGCGCAGAAAGAATAGACATAGGACACATAGTAGCAAAAATCCGTGAGCTGCTGTTTTCTTCGGCGGCGAGAAAATTCAAAAAAAGCCCTTTTCGTCTTTTAAGAGCACTTGTGAAGAATGAGTGATTACAAATTTTTTGCAATATTTTCTAGCAAAATTTTTTTCCGTGAAATCAACTTTAACGCTGCTGCACAAACGACTACTATCTGCACAGTGAATAAAGTTTGTACCATTCTACTTCATTGTCTAGTGAGTTATGATCTCTCAAACTGAAGGTTTTTCGAGAAAACTTTTGGCAGTTTTTGAGCTGTGAAATTTTTCTCAGTAAAGCTACAACGATAATGTAGTGCGTTTTAAATTGCTAAAGGTTTGCTGATTGCAGCAGTTTTTATTGGAAACGGATTGACTATTTCTGCAAAAAGTTACAGTAATCCAAACTCAGAATTTGGAAAACCTGCATCAATTCTGTTACAACCTAATACTTTTCACTGGTATTACTATGGAATTTAATTGTTAGCTTTTAAAATTCATACTTCACTCGGGGTCAGTCATTGAAACAAAAAATATTCCTAATTTACCATGGTCAATTTTAAGAAGCTTAAGATATAGATGAAAATTAGCTTTCAACAATGTAAAACGCAACATTTCAGGTATATAAATACAAGCTAAAAGCCACTGAATGCAGGAAGTTTCTTGATCTGAGCAACCACGAAATATGATTTGGCACGGCTTGGGACGTTTTCGAGGCATGAGGGGGGGGGGACGGGAGGATAGCTACCGTTTTTTGTGGTTATAGGCCAACTAAAAAGTTGGGAACACTCAATTACTGGAGGGCGTGGTCGACGTCGTCCCTCCTCATTTGAAAAGATTTCTGTCTTCTTCCTTCCTCCCCCCCCCCCCCCCACCTCCTAATGAAGGTAACATGAGAGAAAATTGGGAATCAACTGACCAAATACACAGACACTTTGAGTGTCTTATTCTCAAGTGTCTCACGTTGACTCAATGGTAGCAAACTTTTCTCTCCGTCCGAGTAGGTGGTGATCTGCAGCAAGAAAATTTAGAAGCTACGGAATTGTTTTAGATCGAATCATGCACTTGTGCAAAAAAATCTCTTTTCTTTCAGTAAATGCTCATGTCAAGTAATTTGTCTAGGAGGCTTACATTGCTTACGAGCGCTATCCTCTAGTGATGGCTATTCTTGACAACTTTCCATCTATAAGCTACCCTTTGTATACATATTTATCGCCAAATTAATTTCCCATATATGGTCGTAGCTGCTTAATTCTTCGAAACGACTTCGTTGAAAAATCGTGTGCGGACCATCTTTACGCGTGGTGCGCCTTCTTCAGCCATTCACGTTTTTACCCTCTGTTTCACTGGAGTTGGCGGCTGGAGGGCGAGGCTTCGATTGACTAAGAGCACGTAAAGGTGAAGAGCACGCCCTGCATCATCCTCTCGTAAGTGCTCTCTAATCGAACAAAGTTCCTCCAGCCGTCAACTCCCCAGTGAAAAAGATGATACATGGCAAGCACATTTGAATGCATACTGTTGAACTCGTTTGTCTTTGCTACTGCGCCGGGAAACTCGTCCACTCTTTCACATACGGCCGCATAGGGAATTTTTGACTTATTCAGGCTTTCTAAGTCCCGTATTCGGAGTCAGCGCCACGAAAAGGCCTTATCAGAAGTGGAAAATCTGCCCGTACGTCTTCGGAAACACTGCGAGGCGCAATTGCAATTTTCCAGTCGTTGATAAGGAGATGACGAATTTCATCCTATCGCATGAGCTTACCTTATTGGACGAACTTGCCCATTCAGCATATCTATGCAAACTTCTGGCTTTCTTCCTATAAATGAGTATTGTGATGTTTGAGCGCGTCCGAGAACGATCTAGATTTATTCTTCCACTGATTCCAGTAATGTTCACCTTGACGTAAAATAATTTGATATAATTCTATCATTTTGACAGATAAACACGCCTACTTTACACATCCTATCGATGATTGTGTCTCCTTCAGACCAACTGGTGCCGCATTGAGGCCGACTATTATAGGAGGTACTTGATAATGATGTATTCAGCACAGTGAGGGTGTCCTTCCAAACCGCGTCAAGGAGCTAAAACGAGAGAAATTGCGAAATGACCCTTACCATTTACAAGGACGAATGTTTGTGACCGTGGCCCTTTTAGATATCATATATGTTAAAGTACTCCTTACAGGGCCCGGCACGAGGTGGGCAAACGAGGTTTTCCAAAACGAATTCCCCTTTGATCCCAATAAATTTACGAATACCCCCTTGAGCCCAAAAATGACGTTTTGTGCTTGTGCGACGAGATTACCGGCCACACTTCGCCTAAAAGCGCTCAAAAGCACCCAAATTGCTCAAATTCCTCGAACTACTCCTCAGCTGGATCAAGATAGAAAACAGGAAGAAAAATAAGCAAGAAAATGATTAAGGAATGAGAAAATATTAAAGAAACGCAGTCATAGGAATGAGAGACGCCGCTCCCGCGCGTATCGATTGACTGGAGCGCGCTTTCAATCTTAGAAAGCTAGGCTGCTGATGCGATTTTGGGCTCTAACAAGGTCAAGAGGAGGAGTTTCGGAACCAAGATTTCACCATGTAGTAAACTTTAGGTGTACAAGAGATTTATGTAAAAATTTTGAAAAAATTATGTGAACTGAGAGTTTTGCCGACCTCAGGTGGGAATTAGGTCGGCAAATGCCGACCTAATTTGGAAATTAGTTAAGAAAACTTTCCATTCACATAAGTTTTTCATAATATTTCATACTTAGTTACTTAGTCCTACTGCGCATACACACACCGAATCCCGCGCGATTTCGTTACCTCTGCGTTGCAAACGAGCCATTTTTCCATTTCTTTGGTAGCGCAAAATTTTCAGAAAAAAGTTTGCCACAACCTTCAGTCACATAATTTTTCAATGAAACTCCTCAGTTAAGCCCTGCAAGTCCGTGTGCATGTACTTACCAAGTTTCATGCCATATCGTTCATCTGCGCGTTCCAAACGAGCCGTTTGAATTCACATCTTCATTTACCAGTTTTGCGAAACTCTCGGAAAAAATGCTAATTACTCGTTCCGTTCACATAAGTTTTTCATAAATTTTCATACTATGTTTCCACTAGCCTCTCTCCGTTAGCATACAAAATTTGGTGCCATATCGTTACACATACATTGGGAACTAGTCATGCATGCTGTTACAAATAGCATGCATGACTAGTTCCCAATGTACGTCGCTTGGGCGACGTCGCGCGTGCGGCAATTAGCGACGGCGCGGTTTGACGCGAGCGAACTCCAGTGTTCGCCTGTTGAGGCACATAATATGTCAAGATAAGTAGCGAGCATGAACTACCAATTTTTCCCGGACCCCGCAAAAACGATTTCCCCTTTGCTTTTTGGCCCCAAAACGATTTCCAGCTTGTCATTTGCCGACCTCGTGCCGGGCCCTGACTCCTTATTGTTTGATATCAACGCTACGTACACTGGGTGCGGAGCGACTCTCTAGATAAAAGTCTTCGTCAAGACAAACTCAAAAACCGCCACACCAATGGAGATCGAACCCGAAATCATCCCCTCAGTAATCCGAAACACTAACCACTAGACCATCCATTACCACTAGCACACGTGCATTACACAACCCCTGTACAAACAAGTCGACATGGAGAAGAAACACCGCTCATAACTCCTCTCAGAATATCGCTTTGCGGATACTGAACACAGTTTTGAAATCAGCGTTTCAAGGCAAACACCTCAGCTTATGTTTTATATCAAAAAGCCACAGTCACTAAGAATCCAGACCTTCCGCGCACGGCGCGGAGAGTGCGCATGTGTGCTGCGCGTCACTTTTTCACGTGCACTCTCGCTGCTTGTTTTCTCTGCGCCTCTTCCCGTCATGAACTACTTTCGATGGACGCGACAGAAATTTTCCGAATATTCAGAAATGGACGCGAAATGTATAGGCCGTCCGCGCATGGCGCGAACGGCATATACATTTCCTGTTGGTTTCTCTTACCGTTACATCCTTGTATTTCGCGTTCATCGCATCCCTGTCAAACAAGGAAAATGTCGTTATGTTGCACTGTTCCGTAGCTGTGGAGTCAGTAATGTGAAGTAGTGATGCGTCCTGAATGGTAAGTGAGAGCTGCATGTGCGTACTCCTTCTCCCAGACTATGAGAATCTAATGACTTACCCAATGCATAAGTACATAATGATTCATTGTTCCGCATAAACCAAATTCAGCTGCGGCTATAAGTAAAGGTTGGATCTGCGTCAGAGTCACATGCACCACAAATCGAGGATTAGCTGAAATACAAGAACTCATAATACAACGCAAGTACTGCAGAAATTTCGTTCGGAAGAGGGACAGAGGACAGGACTGAAGTTTTTCCCGTCAACCACCCCCTCCAGAAACTTTGGAATGCTTCGCAACTTTCCAGTGGACCTACTAGTACCCAAAATCGAAGAAGAGGCGTGATGGCAGCTATGCTCCAAAAAATCTTCTCGACAGAGCCAATGAATATTTGAGATCAACAAACTATTCCAACTGTTTACAAGTAGAATAAGTGTCTCCTTCCCTCCCCCCCCCCCCCGATCCCCCTGCCCCTCTCTCCCCACAAAATGGGTTGCGAAGTTTCTGAAAGTTAGACACCTAAGTGAGTTTGTGCAACATTTTTCTTTACTTCTGAATAATCAGAACAAATTATAAATTCCGCAAAAATCCAGATAGCTTCGTTGGGAATTTTTATGGGGTTTATCATTAAAACGTTGAGTCATTTCTTATGTATTCTTTTGCTCAAATTTAGGTTCAGGCTTCCTTACGCTTCTATAATATTATAGAATTGATTGCAGCAGAGCTTATTCGAGAAATTATTCGAGCTACGTTATCCTGCGAAGACTTCAAAATTGATGGAACTTAAAGGCAGTGTCCGGGCAAAAACTCGATTTTGAGATTTTGTGCTTACCCGGTCCTATTCGCTATGCTGAATCCGAAAATCCATATCGGAGAGCGCGAAAACGGCGAAAAAGGGCTCTAATATAGGAGGGAAATCAACAGGTGGGCGGGGCTTTCCCCAGTGCGATTTCACGCTCCCAGCTCCCGGAGCGATTTTCTCGATTCCGCTAGCCTTCTAACATCGCTACCGGCCAAGTGCGAATGATTGACCTGAAACCGAAAGCGAGAAGGTCGCTCCGGAAGCCGGGAACGTGAATTCGCAGTGGGGAGGACCCCGCCCACCTGCTCATTTCCCTCCTGTGTTAGAGCCGTTTTTCGCCATTTTCGCGCTCTACAATGTGCATTATCGGATTCAGCGTAGCGAATAGGCCCAAGTAAGCACATAATTTCAAAATCGAGTTTTTGCCCGGAACTGCCTTCAAGTGCGGTAGTTTCCTTGAGGTATTCACCGTATAAAAACGCACCGTACTTGTTCTTCACATGCTTTAAAGCTGGACGAGGATCAGTACCCATTTTGACCAAATGGCAACGGAAAGGTCTGCCAAAATTACTTGCAGAAATAATGCGAGTAAGATCAATGAATTCTGGAACAAGCAATTTTGATGACTTACAGTGCGAGCCCTTGAAAACATGGGCTAAAATAGAGCGCCTGCTGAGCTAAGCAATTACAATGAATTTAGTAAGTAGGAAGCTGGAATTCACATACCGTCTTCAGTGTGATACAGTAACACCACATCCTCCCAACCTTCCCTTCTGATAAATGTCGTGACAGCATCACAACGTGCTGAAAACGGCGTAATCAGAGAGATCGCATGCCTTGGTCCTGCCATGGTGGGTTCATCGAAGCGAACTGTGGGAATATTCGCAGTCTGAAGTGCCATTCTGTCATGAAAGCCTTAGAGGTCTAGACTGTTTCAATGAAAGTGGCACAGCCTCAGCGGTTCGTGTTCTCGCAGCTGCTCGAACCTTGCGCTGCGCTTGCGGACGTTACTTTAGGTATTTTCCTACGCTAAGCAGCAACTAATGGCTGAGAAAAAAAGCCCAGAGGATAGTCCGCGAAAGCGGCGCAGGTTGGGGCGGCTGCGAAGACCCAAGCCGCTGTAGCTGTGACACTCTCACTGAGACAGCTTATAGCTCACCCTAGCCACACTCTCAACGAAAGCAGCCGCAGCGTAAGCGTAATCGGACCCTTCCGACAATGGAAGAATTGCTGCCACGACTCCCTCGGCTATTGCGTCGCAGACTACAAGAATTCGAGTTGAGAGGACCTCGAAAATTGTATAAATTGGAGAAACTACACTCGGGTGAGACGCGGTACACAGGGCGGGTTCTATAAACAACCCAGTGAAAACCCGTAGGCCATATCCTTTTCAACACAGATTCGAGTTCGATGGGCACAGCTGCAAAGTCAAATTTCTTCGGAACATTTATGTAACTGTATAAAATGAGCTAGTATTAACCAGAGGAAAATGTTTTATCTGTAAACAAACCTATCTTATGAGCAGCAGTTACAGAAAAAACTATACAGACGACAAACCACATTCACTTGGACTGGTCGCTCTTCCCACTTATCCACTTAGTGTTACGTTGCTCCATGCTTTTAGTATTAATTGTATAATTAAGGCCGTTCACTGCAATTTTTCACACCAAGTCATTACATAAGTGTTCTCCCTTCGTTTTTCCCCTGAAAATTCTACGAAAATTCAAAAACTCATATTTGGCATATTGGGGAGAGGATGAAGAATACCCCCAGGGATCATTCCACCTTCGTGGACGTGAGTTAAGCTTTATGAAGAGGCATCAGTTTTGCATATTTTTAAAGGTCATCTCATTGTTATTTTTCAGAGCACCAGTAGTGATGAAAGCAGTTCGGAAGTTTCAGCTCTTCAGTAAAGCAAGCTGTATTGCCAAGATAATTCGCGAAAACTTCAAAAAAGTTCAAAATTGGATTCCTCATGTGCTGACATGTATATATCAAATTTCACAACCCTCCACAATTTAGAAATGAAGAGAAGGTAGAGAAGGTTTTGGGAATTTTGGAAAGCGTGAAGGTTTTTTATGTGGTGTACCAAAATTATGTAACAACCTAATACAAGGTATTTGTGATTCTAGAAGCAAGTAAGGAAATGCGCACATAGCATAGGATACCTACATACTGATAGCTATTCGAAAAACTCTTTCGAAAGTTCTATTGGATCATTTTTTAAACGAGGTGTTGCGCTAGCCACGCCTTCAAAATCTTTGGAATGCTACCAATTTTTGTTAATTTACAACCCAGTTCTTGCTGGTTAACAATTGAAACAATTTTCTAATCTACAATGTTCTCTCAAAGATAATTTGAACTTTTGAAAAGTCAAAAAAATTTTCTCTAGTTGTTAGCGAGTAAAGACAACTCATTTGCACAAATTTATGCAACCCATGTAAACCACTTCAGTATTTGGCCACCCTCGCCCTCTGCTACTCCGGCCCCTCCCTCGGTTCGCCACTGTTGCGTGCATACGATTATTCACGTAATTCTTGAACAGCAAGAGGACAAAACCGAATTCGTCTTGGTGTTGGTGTACGGTGTTTTAAAAAGTTCTCGACTTTTTGCGTGATTGCAAACTTCAACGAACGTTATTAAAAGCACCAGAAAAAACCTACCCCCCCCCCCTTCGGTTAGTACCTATATGATCACACTGCGTTGCTCCGGTTCTCCAACGTTGTCTTTGAATGAAGATATTGGACCTGGAACCACGAAAGTGCTATCAAGTCACGCCCCAATCCCATCAAGTCCCGCCCACCCAGGTAGTGAAAGCCGCCTAGGTGGTGGTCGTAGAATGCAGCTCCCAGAAAATCGGGGTTTTGGGGTTTCGCACATTTTGAACTTCATGACTGTAATCAGGGTCATGGAAAGGCTCCACAACAAAAATATGGAAGGCGAAATTTTGGCTGGACGCTCAAGTAATTTAGGGCGCGTCGATGCTACTTTCCTCCTTATGCCTAATTTGTTGAAACTTATGAATACCTACGAAAATATTTGAACAACCGCTAAAGTTCACTGCTTCCATCTTTGCTCTATGGGACTTTAGACCCAAAGCTTGCTGAAACAGGCATGCAAATAGGACAAAGCTTGACTATGTGCACTACTAGAATTCCACATATTGTTCAGGATTTAATGAAATTACTTTCTAGAGCCCACGACTTTGAATCTGTGTATCCACTGACGGTGAAAATATGCCAAAGATTTTTGCATTATTTACACTTTGTGTGAGCAAAATCACATTTTTATCACTCGATGATGCATGCAATATATAGAAATATACGAGCAATAATAATCGGAGGTAGCGGTTTCCGTTGTACATCGAGTTGCAAATGCCAGGCAGGTCTGCAAGAAATATAATTCGTCAACAAGCAATATAATTCAAGTAATTAAACAAAGCACAAATACCTACAGCAGACCTTCACTCATATATACAATGAACGTCCCCAATTTCGCTTTTTATGTGAAACTTCCTATGCGATAATAATCTCGTTGTCAGTAAAAATCCAAAAATTTTGCCCGACTGCGGAGAGGGAGGAGGTTATTTAGCATTTGGAAATGCACTCAAAGAAGCTCACAAGGTTGAATTGAGATCCATAGAAACTAGGCAAACCCGGCTCTGTCCGGCCTCGTCAATAATATTTTCGTAATCAGCATGCTCACTTAGCTTCTGGGCCAATTCCCAATCTCGTAGGTTGAACATTGCAAAAAAATTGATAAAATCGATATCGATCAATGATGAAAAGTGTCTACGACATCCGCCCCGTAAACTTCAATTAAACTGGCTTGGCGGCCGGAAGGAGGGGCTTTGACCCAATTAAGGCCGCTCGCGTCCACGACGCTCTACAGTTGTGACAGTGGAATGTGAAAAATTTCGGCGAATTCGCCGAATTCGCCGAATTCGCCAAATTCGCCGATGTCGCCGAATTCGCCGATGTCGCCAAATTCGCCGATGTCGCCGATGTCGCCGACTTTGCGTCTTTTCGTCATAACTCCCTTCGTTCCCAATGGATTTCAAATTTGAAGGCAGATTTGGATTTAGCTCGCCGAGACGAATCTTTTCATGTATTGAACTGCTGTAATCGGCTCGGTCACGGTAAGTACATGGTAGGAATCCGTTGTATCCTGTGGTGGTGTTTTCTAGAGTGTGTATTTCGGCGCATAATGTAGGCAAAGGTTTAAGAAAAAGAGCGTTTGATGGAAGAGTTTCTGCTGAGTGTTTCCAGTAGAAAACCATATCCTTTTTTGCAGTGGAAAAAAGAGAAAGGACTACGTGAACTTGGTAAATATACATGAACCACTTACCATCAAACAAACATAACTATACAGTAACACTATGATTAGCAAAACAATAATAATCTTTGTAATCAGCATGTCTTGTTGCTTATGTGAGCAAAGTGACACACCGCATGACTATGATATTCTGCTTCCAGCAAAACTTCACTTTTTTCTGCAGACGCCTCTTTGCAACGCTGTGGGCCAGCCCCTTTCACACTTAAAAGGTTCGAGTAAGGCGAATCGGAAAGAGTTGTTTCCGTAGATAATCCAGCGGTGAAAAGTAGACGGAGACATCTTATATATAAAGCTGAATGTCTGTTTGTCTGTATGTCTGTCTGTATGTATGTGTGTACGTATGTTCCGAATAGAAAATTCCATTTCTGAACCGATCGGGACCAAACTTGGCACACATACACTTCGGGCCCCGGCGGGTGTCATAGGCTACTTTTCGTCATCGATCGATATCGATTTTATCGATTTTTATCGATTTTTTTGCTGAGTTCACCTACGGGGCTGGGAGTTGGCACAGGGGGGTAATCGAGCATGGGGATTCCGAATACAATATTGGTTTTCAGGATTATCGATTACTTTTATCGATTTTATCGATTTTTTTGCAAACTTTGAGCTACGGGGCTGGGAGTTTGCACAGGGGGGTAATCGAGCATGGGGATTCCGAATACAATATTGGTTTTCGGGATTATCGATTACTTTTATCGATTTTATCGATTTTTTTGCAAAGTTTGAGCTACGGGGCTGGGAGTTTGCACAGGGGGGTAATCGAGCATGGGGATTCCGAATACAATATTGGTTTTCGGGATTATCGATTACTTTTATCGATTTTATCGATTTTTTTGCAAAGTTTGAGCTAGGGGGCTGGGAGTTGGCACAGGGGGGTAATCGAGCATGCTGATCACTCCCAAGGGGGGTGATCAGCATGCTCGATTACACCCCTGTGCCAAATTCCAGCCCCCTAGCTCAAATTTTCAAAAAATCGATAAAATCGGTAAAAGTAATGGACGATCTTGAAAACTAATATTGTATTCGTAATCTGCATGCTCGATTACCCCCCTGTGCAAACTCCGAGCCCCGCAGGTCAAACTTTACAAAAAAAATCGATAAAATCGATAAAAGTAATGGACGATCCTGAAAACTAATATTGTGTTCGTAATCAGCATGCTCGATTACCCCCTGTGCAAAATCCCAGCCTCGCATGTCAAAATTTACAAAAAATCGATAAAATCAATAAAAGTAATCGATAATTCTGAAAACTAATATTGTATTTGGAATCCCCATGCTCACTTCCCCCCCTGTGCCAACTCCTAGCCCTGTGGGTGAACTCTGCAAAAAAATCGATAAAAATCGGTAAAATCGACATCGATCGATAACGAAAAGTGGACTGTGACACCCGCCGGGGCTCGAAGTGTATGTGTGCCAAGTTTGGTCCGGATACGGCGGAGCCGGGTAAGCCAGCTAGTGCTTTATAAAGCGCGAAAAGAGATGGTGAATTCTGCAAAAATCACGCGCCTTTAAATTCTACTCGCCATAACTTCCTCCAGAATAAGTATATTCTGAATCCGAAAACGGTGCTATGCTCACCTCATCAAGGCGAATCTTTTGGTGTACAGCATGTCCTTGATATCTCGATTTCAGTATTCTTGATTCTTTCTGCGGGCGTTTCTTCTCGAAGGTGTAAAGCAGCGAGCATTGTCCCGAGTAGATTCCAGCAGGGACCTTTTGATAGTACTTTTTCTGTAGATTATGATGCGCTAAACAGTAGCCGCAATTTTCTTTTCAAAGGAAAAAGATGGGCTGGTGATTTGTGGAAAAATCTTGCCGTCCCAAATTCTACTCGCCATAGCCATAGAATATGATGCTCTCTTGCTAAGCAGATGTGACTATCGTAATCAGCAGGTCGGATAACCACTATGAGCAAGTTTTCCGAGATTTTCGGGTTATTTCGTTTTTTCTCGTTCTACGCTCTGGAAGCTCGCCGATGGATTTTGGTCAAAATGTAGATGCTCTTGAATTGTAAGGAAACTTCGCTTATAGAGGTTTTCGAACACGCTCTTTACGAAAATCGTGGTCTCTGACAAGGGAACGATCCCAACTTAAGGCGGCGAATTGGAATAAACCGCATATCATTAGATGCGTCTTGATGAGCTGATTGCAAATTTACCTTCCATATCTGCGACAACGTTATCCGGAAGAAGTTATGAAAGGTTAAAAACGTGAAGTAACGGGGGTTTTAGTGCATAATTCGTTTCAAAATCCAGCTTGGGAGTGTATGACTAGCATGATATTGAGTGTACTGATTTCAAGGAATGCTCACACTCTAAAGAAACACAAATAAGTGTTTTTGAACAACTGATTTTCGAGGTATTGCGCTGTATATTTGCCAGATTTGGACTTTTCAGCTGCTTTTTAGCTGTTCAAAAACATTTATTTGCGTTACTTTTGAATGTGAGCATTCCGTGAGATCAGTACACTCAATATGATGCTAGTTATGCACTTTCAAGTTGGATTTTAAAGCGAATTATGCATCAAAACCCCCGTTACTTCAAATTTTTAACCTTTCATAACTTCTTCCAGATAACGTTGTCGCAGATATAGAGGGTAGATTTGGAATCAGCTCATCAAGACGCATCTAATGGTATGAGGTTCATTCCAATTCGCCACCTTAAGTTGGGATCGTTCCCTTGTGAGGATTACAGTGGCTTTTTGGAGAGATACGGCGAGGTAACTGTAACTGCACCACGGAAGTGCGTAACTTTGCCCGCACTTCTCGCGTATCTCTCAGAAACCTTGCTTGCTTGCTTTTCGAAGTCAAAGTGACTAGGAACTGAGCTATCGAATGGTGTGTGAGTAGGGCTCCAGTCTATAAAATTCGCCGAGTTGCAAGCCTACGAAAACACGTCCTCATGAAATTTGCACAAAATGTAAAGATCGCGTACTTTGTTGAAATTCCATCGTGAGTGGTTGCATGACTAATTGCAAATGTTATTTTCACCCCTCCCGCGTTTTATACAACCAGGGCCCGGTACGAGATGGGCAAATGACAAGCTGGAAGTCGTTTTTTGTTGGAAAAAGCAAGGAGAAATCGTTTTTGCGGGACCGATAGCGGAGCCCGGAAGAAGATTCCAAGTGCAAGCAAAAGAAGGTCGAATCAAGCTCATTACCTTATACATCTAATTCATTAAGAAGTAGGTTTTCGTAAGCCTCAGGCAGCAGAGTTCGCGCGCGACCGCGCGTCCGCCGCTACTTGCCGCGTGCGCGACGTCGCATAAGCGATGCCGTTGAACAGCATGATTACTTGATCAGTTCTCAATGCAGGCGTAACGATATAGCACCAAATTATGTAAGCGAACGAAGAGAGACTAGTAGAAACAAAGTATGAAATATCATTAAAAACTTATGTAAATGGGAGGAGTAATAAGCATTTTTTCCAAAAATTTTGCAAAACTGGTAAGTGAAGATGTGAATTCAAATGGCTCGTTTGCAGCGCACAGATGACCATACGGTATGGGACTTGGTAGATACATGAACACAGGCCTGCAGGGCTTAACTTAGAAGTTTCACTGGAAAATTATGTGACTAAAGGTTGTGGCAAGCTTTTTTCTAAAAAAACTTTCCCTATCAAGAAAATTGAAAAATGGCTCGATTGCAGCGCAGAGAAAACGAAATCGCGCGAGACTTGGTGTGTGTACGCGCAGTAGGACTAAGGAACAATGTATAAAAATTATGAAAAACTTATGTGAATGAAGAGCGTGCTCAACTATTTTCCAAATCAGTTTTGCCCACCTCAGGTAGGCTTTAGGTGGGCATTTGCCTGAGGTGGGCAAAACTTTCAATTCACATAAGTTTTTCAAAATTTTTACATAAATCTGTTGTACACCTAAATTTTACTGCATAGTGAGAATTTGGTTCCGAAATTCCTCCTCTTATCCTTGTTAGAGCCCGAAATCGCATCAGCAGCCTAGCTTTCTAAGATGGAAAGCGCGCCCCAGTCAATCGATACGCGCGGGAACGGCGTCTTTCATTCCTATGACTGCCGTACTTTGATATTTTCTCATTCCTATCATCATTTCTTGCTTATTTTCCTTCTGTTTTCTATCTTGATACAGCTGAGGAGTGAATTTGAGCACTTTAAGCGCTTTTGAGCGCTTTTAGGCGAAGGGTGGCCGGTACTCTCGTTGCACGCACAAAGCGCCATTTCTGGGCTCAGGGAGTATTCGTAAAATTTATTGGGATCAAAGGGGAATTCGTTTTGGAAAATCCCGATTGCTCACCTTGTGCCGCCCGTATACAACCACTCACGATGGAATTTCAACAAAGTACGCGATCTTTACATTTTGTGCAAATTTCATGAGGACGTGTTTTCGTAGCTTGCAACTCGGCGAATTTTATAGACTGAGCCCTACTCACATACCAATTCGATAGCTCAGTTCCTAGTCACTGACTTCTGAAAAGCAAGCAAGGTCAGAGATTCGAACCGAATGCGGGCAAAGTTACGCACTTCCGTGTGCAGTTATACAGTTACCTCACCGTATCTCTCCAAAAGCCACTGTAATCCTCAGAGACCACGATTTTCGTAAAGACGGTGTTCGAAAACCTCTATAAGCGAAGTTCCTTACAATTCAAGAGCATCTACATTTTGACCAAAATCCATCGGCGAGCTTCCAAGCGTAGAACGAGAAAAAACGAAATAACCCGAAAATCTCGGAAACTTGCTCATAGTGTTATCCGACCTGCTGATTACGATAGTCACTGCTTAGCAAGAGAGCATATTCTATGGCTATGCGAGTAGAATTTGGACGGCAAGATTTTTCCACAAATCACCAGCCCATCTTTTTCCTTTGAAAAGAAAATGCGGCTACTGTTTAGGCTCATCATAATCTACAGAAAAAGTACTATCAAAAGGTCCCTGCTGGAATCTACTCGGACAATGCTCGCTGCTTTACACCTTCGAGAGAAACGCCCGCAGAAGAATCAAGAATACTGAAATCGAGATATCAAGGACATGCTGTATACAAAAGATTCGCCTTGATGAGGTGAGCATAGCACCTTTTTCGGATCAGAATATACTTATTCTGAGGAAGTTATGGGCGATAGAATTTAAAGGGCGTGATTTTTGCAGAATTCACCATCTCTTTTCGCGCTTATAAAGCATGTCTCCGTCTACTTTCACCGCTGGATTACTACGGAAACAACTCTTTCCGATTCGCCTTACTCGACCTTTTAAGTTAGCTGGGCCCACACGGTTGCAAGAGGGACTCTGCGCAGAAAAAAGTGAAGTTTTGCTGAAGCAGAATATCATAGTCATGCGTGTGTCACTTTGCTCACATAAGCAACAGAACAGGCTTACAATATTATTATTGTTTTGCTAATCATAGTGTTACTGTATAGTTATGTTTGTTGATGGTAGTGTTCATGTATATTACCAAGTTCACGTAGTCCTTCTCTTTTTCCACTGCAAAAAAGGATATGGTTTTCTACTGGAAACACTCAGCAGAAACTCTTCCATCAAACGCTCTTTTCTTAAACCTTTGCCTACATTATGCGCCCGAAATACACACTCTAGAAACACCACCAAGGATGCAACGGATTCCTACCTGTACTTACCGTGACCGAGCCGATTACAGCAGTTCAATATATGAAAGATTCGTCTCGGCGAGCTAATCCAAATCTGCCTTCAAATTTGAAATCCATTGAGAACGAAGGGAGTTATGACGAAAGACGCAAAGTCGGCGACATCGGCGACAGGGCGAATTTGGCGACATCGGCGATTCGGCGACATCGCGAATTGGCGAATTCGGCGAATTCGCCGAAATTTTTCACATTCCACTGTCACAACTGTACGCTCTCCCAGCGTGTGCTCTCTGATCATTATAACCTTAATTAGGTCACGAAGCCCACCCTTCCAACCGCCAAGCCAGCAGAATCAAAGGGTATGTGTGCCAAGTTTGGTCCCGATCGTTTAGAAATAAAAAAATTCTATTCGGACCGTATGTAAACACACACGACAGACGGAGAGACATACAGACAGACAAACAGACATTCACTTTTATTTATACAGATTATAAAAGCATCTCACTAACCTCTAGAAACGAGGTATCGGGAATCACGACGAATGTTGTCATCAGTGATGATGCTCGTGCTTCCAATTTGGATTTTTATATCTGCAACGTACCATGTTTATGTAAAACAGGGCCAAACACTTGCTGTCTTACCGGACGCAATGGCGTCCAGTGTCATGCAAAGAACTGCCTTTACCTGTAGTGTGCAATTCGGAGCAACTGGATGAGCCCACTGCACATAACAAAGAAATTCACACTGGAGAGGTAGTAGTTGATCGGAGTGATGACAAGGCAATATCGAGTCCAGATGGCTCCAGTGGCGCACAATGCAGCGTTCTGAGGTCAAATGATGTATAAATCGCAAACAATTTCAATCCACAGGATGCTGTGATCTGATTGTAAGATACCTGAGCTGGTGAAAGCTTATGAGCGGGTCTAGCAAGATCGGCCAAGCCTGCTGCCACCAAAGCCCATTTGATGGTTGGCGCCCAGAAAAATACAGTTTTAGGCCCCGCTGGATGGTTCCACGCGGGTTTCGCGAAAGATGGCAGAATTGGATAGACCACCTTATCGCCAACTCTACATAAAGCATTGTAGAGAACTCGGTGCGGGGCCATACTGAAAAATTGTGATAGTTCAATGAGAACTGGTTGTATCGACTGATACTTTGTGAAAAGCTACCAACTTGAAGAACAGTGAGAAATGCAAACTCAATGATAATCAAAGATCTAATACGCTAAATCATTCCAGAGAGAGATTCTACTTTACATCAAGTATTATTTTGCTGCAAAGATAATGTCCATTTTGCTATTCTTTGAAAAGCAATAACATCGCTCAGTCTTCATATTTTATGTATGCAATCAAGATTATCAGAACCAGTAAACCTTTCGTAACCTAGCGCACACCTGTTATACTGATATCGCAAACGGGAGGATAACCATGCGTCAAAAACCGAAAGTTGTTCTTTTGAACCGTCTCTAAGTGATCACAACTTCGTTCAAAATGCAAGACAGTAGTATACAATTGTATAGAGAAGACTTAACGATAGAGTTTTGCGAAAAGAAGAAGGTAGAAATACAAACTTTCTCGTTCTTTTTTGAGCCTGTTTGTGATATTTTAGGAAGTCCCAAACTATGAAAACTTGGAATTCTTAATGTATTGAATAGCTAAGTTTTTATGCATAAATTGTAGGTAAGATGTCCTGACCTAAAGCTTACAGAAATGAGCAAAGTTTCGACCATTGCTCTAATCAGGAAAAATTTTGAGCCCATGGGAGTTCCAGGCAGCCCATGGGAGTTCCAGGCAGCGAGTATGTTTTTGAGGCATCGGTTTCTTAGTTCAGGTATATTCGAAAAACTTATTAAAACATGCAATAAGTAAACAATATTCATCCCATACAGTAGCTATGTTTTCAGAAGAATTCTGCATTTCGCCTGAATTGTGGCCAAGAAAGGAAACAATGAAATTTCGATTTTGAGTGCGGCTCTGCAAAATGCTGGTGAAACTCTCACATATGAGGTAAAAGCTTAATTTCACCACTGCTAGAGAGTATATGAAGAAAGCTTTCCAGTGATGTGCAGAATCTTTATCGAAAGAGAAAGTCTGGAGTAGAGAAGTTGTTTGGAAAATACGCCTAAAAAACGGGCATTATTTTTGCACCAACTCAATATTAAGGCCACTTTTTGAGAGCCTGATTTCAGAAAATAGAGCTCCAGCAGCAATACAGCTACGATTTTGCTGAATTGCAAAAATCTGTGGCCGTTCATCATTGATACCTGGTAAATTCTACCTCCAGGTGGTTTTATCATTCATTATCAGCAAAATTACATTGAGAATTTACCTCAAGGTACTTTTGTGAATACGGGTACTTGCTGATAACGAGTGATAAGACTATCTGGAGGTAGAATCTACCTCAAGGTATCAATGATGAATACGGCCACTGGAGTACTGCTATTTTGGACATGAGTAAAATTTCTCAGCTAGCAATGATCTCGTATATAAAAGCATAAATCAGTAAACACCTAACCACCCATTGAAAGAAACTACGTATCGCTATAGTATTGCCTCGTAATCATAGTTGACGCCATGATTGTGACCTACAGGGTGCGCCAGAATTATTTGCGCGTGTATTCTGCAACGCAAAACTCGTGCAAGACGAGATCAGCAATAGGCAAAAAGCTATTTTGTTTCAGTAACGTTTTATCAATAAGAGGCTACAGCATGAATTGGAATTTTTGAGTGTGGCTTGAGAAGTACCACAAAATATCTTACTGATTAAGATGCGCGCAACACGCAGGTATTTATTCAGATAATCTTCTGCTTTTTCATAGAAAAATGCTCCTGTGATGCAACGAACACATCACATGATAGAGCAAGTTTTCGGCTGCAGCATACTTTAAGCGCAAATTCTAGGATGGTCTGACAAGAAAAATTATCTGCGTTTAAATAAAGTTATGTGTTTGCTACATGCTCAAAAACTGCACATTTTAGGGGTGCGAATGAGCCAAAGGAAAGCAGAAATTGACTCCAAATTAGGATGGAGTTCAATTTCATCAGTGGAAAAGAACTAAATATTTATCTAGAAGCTTTGTGAAAGCACTATAGCATTGAATCCGGTGACAGGCACGTTTCTGTAGCTTACAAATGTGATCTAATAACAAAACGGCCACTGACACGGGGTGGCATTTGCGTACTTTTTGTTGTTCCAGTCACGGAATGAATTATGACTACCAAAAGTTAGGTTTTTTCGCCTTCCGAAAGTATTAACACGAGAATTTTATTAATTGCACAAAGGTATGGCAATCACCTGGGCTCATAAAACGCTATTTTGTAGAAGATGATTGCAGCATTCTACCACATAAATTTTGCAATCAAAACTATGAGTAGTTTTTTGCAGCACACATGCAAAGTTGACGCAAATACTTTTGGCGCACCCTGTAATGCTCGCTTAAAAACGCACGGAGATTGATGTGTTGTGGGTTTTCCGGGTGTTAAATCTTAATCGAGACAAAAAGAGGTGCATCCTTGAAACGACTAGATTTACTTGACCACTGTAATCACCAAAGTGATTTAGCGTAGATGGCCTCATTAGAACCCTCCTTATAAGGGAAGGTGAGAAGTCAAAGTGACCATTCCGAACAAGGCCATACTTACTGGATGCATCACAGAACGCTGGCTCCAAATCTAGCTTCTGTATCTGCTGAACTTCTTGGTTGGCGAAGTTGTGAGCGGTTCAATTGCAAGAAAGTCGTACACATAATCGCAAAACTGGATAAAGGAATACCTTTTCACCATCAAACACTGTTACTATAAAGCAGCGTCCCATTTTTTAACCCAGCATTAGGCCAAACGTATATATGGATGTGTAAGTGTCCGAATTTGCACTTTGTATACAAGAATTCCTTGGCTTTTAACTTTGGCTCGTATCACGCATCGTCGATTCGTTAACCGCACGGACTGCTCAAACGTTGCGGACCATATGCGGCGCGGCTAAAATGTCGCGAGAGCATGACTTGTGCCCATGGTCTATCTATACTGAGGCAATCGTTTGAGTTCGCAATGATGTCCAGTCGTGCGGTCAACGGATCGACGATACATCCCCGCGGGGTAGGAGAAAGTCTGAGAAGGGAGCGTTATATCTTGCTGCTCCAGATATCTGCATTATTATTTTTCTATCTATATTGTGGAGGTCCTCATAAAATTACTAGAGTACAATCGATACAGAACATTGCCATACAAAGTAAGTTTCTCACTCACTTTCACTCAACAATCAAATCAGCACAATAAGTTTCTCACTGTTTCGTGGATCCCCTAGGATCCCCAGGGGATCACCTCATCTTCCTATAAACTCGGTGAAAATGCTGTAAGGTTTCACCGAGGATATCTATGGCAGTGTTAAACATGTTTTTAGTGGAGTGGAATCTCAGGACATCGAAACTTTGATGAGTCGCTGTTTGCGAGCTGAGATTCATTGAAAAAAAAAACAAAATTTGCAGAATTCATTCGTTCTGTCGAAGACATTCCTAGCAGTGCAATAAAAGAACCTAAGTACAACTTTACGATGTTTTTATCGAGATAGACGACTTTAAAAGCCAGAGATGATCCCTGGGGATCCCCAGGGGTCACATAAAACAGTGTTCCAGCTTCTATAGAAACGTTCTGCTGTCTGTTGTCTCTATATAGACAAAAAAAGAAGAACACAGATATAGGGCTTTGCATGGTCGCGAGTGAGTTTGCGACTTCTGCACGCGCATTGAGCTTTCTCATTGTCAGCTATCTTCCTCCTTTCAAACGCGTTTTCGCTATCAGATATTAGCTACCAAATACCTGAAACAATTATGAAAAATATGAAAATGTTCAACCAGTTTGAGGCCTTGTGGCATTCTGCGTGTGCAATGGCCGCAAACTTACCGACTCCCGCATCACGCACAGCCCTATACCTAAAGTAGCGAAATGACGCGTCTCCTCTCAGGCACCCTCCCCTCCCCAGCGGGGATGTGACTTATACATCCGTTTTACATATATTTACACTCGCCTACGGGCATTTCTCTCAACAGGAATCCAGCGGTTGAAAAGATCCAAAAATAGTGTTCTATGGGTGCATTTATTGGTATGCAGCTTGTTGGAAACAGTTCGATTACTTCTGACCATTCAAATCAAGACTTCTCAAGCGCACTTGTTAATGTAAGAGGTGACATAAACGGCTATAAGCCTTTCAAGGGTACGCAACTCAATATATAGTTCATAGAACAAAGGATACGAAAGACAGAAAGATCCTTTTAAATAATGTAGTGTGCTAAGAAATCATAGTGTATGGTTTGTTCCCAGAAATGTTTTCATATCTAGGGACCATCAGCGTAGCTGCTTTCCAATTGTTTTTACTTCAGTAATCAGGCGCTCACGAAAATGTTGCAATGATCGAAAGGCATCCGTTGATGGTACCTATTGGGAACATTCCTAACGGACAGACAATAGATGCAAGCTAACATAATAAAATGACAATGAAAAACTCACTTGAGAAGTTGCACGAGAAAAAAGTGTCTAGACAGGGATTTGACGCGTTTGCGAGGGGAAAAAAGTGCGAGAAAAGCGAACAGCCAACCAGCTGGCGGCTATCCAATCGATTTTTTACGCACTAGGCAACCAAAGATCGCTTTGTTCCAATCAGCTTCATGAGGAGCATGAGTTTTAGCGCTAGACAGTTTCTGTTAAGAAGTTGACTACACATCAAACCTGACCTTCAAAATGTCCATTCAAGTTCGTTTTCTAACAAATGGGTGTGAAGATCTGCCTGCGATTGTTCTCAATTATGTTCATTGCTTGCACTTTTTGTTTTGATATCAGCCATCCCTTCCATCGCGACTCCAGTAATGCGTCGATAGCTAAAAAGCAATGTTCCTGCAAAGAGTCGATTGAAAAACTTCTTGCTCAGTTACATGAGTTATTTTTCCCGCTCATTCTTGGAGAGCGCGAAATTAAAAAAGACAAGCCTTTTCGAAGCTTTTGTTCTTGGATTTGAGGTATGACGAAGACTGCCAAGTTTAACGAATGTTATGTTCACTGCCATGCAAAAGTGACCACTTTCAGACATACCACTGCGCAAATACGAGGTTATAGAGTTCGACCTAAAGCAAGAAAAATGTTCGGGAAGTGGGGAAACTTACGCCTGGGGGGGGGGGGGGTTCTCCGACTTGTTTGAGTTCCTGCTTTGTGGCAGCGTACGCATTATACTTTGGACCAAATCGAATAAATATTTGAGTTTCGAATAAAATACATTCAAAATTCGATTATTCGTAAATTTCAAAACCTCGAATACATTCGATAATCGCTTATTCGAAATTTGTCAAGTTCGAATTGATTCGACATTCGGTCATTCGAAATTTTTGATTCGTATGTATTCGAACATTCGAGTACTCACTTTTAATAGTTATTCGACTATTCGACATTTTCGCATATCGAATAACTGCTTCAGAGCGTCACCTTTTTGATTGCTGTATCAGCAAATAACATTTCTTGTTCAAATTGCCTACACTGAATCCTTCATAGTGCTAATTCGATCAAAATTTGTATCAATATTTGACATAGTCGATGCAAAGTAATCGTTCATTCGAGTTTTTTTCTCGAATGTATCCTATTCATCGAGATTTTTTCATTTCGAAAACATTCGATATTCGACCTATTTGCCGTCATATCTGCCCGGATGCTGTGTATGAAATCCTGATCAATTCAGAGGTGAGGTCCATAAGCGGGCAACAAGTCTTTGTGATTATGCCACCAAAGATAGTCTAGCGAACCTGACCTTTTTTCCATGCTTCCTCAAAACATTTCGTAGAAAGGAATGGCATGAGGCGCAAAGCACTGAGATATGTCCTTTGTGGTCAGTTGTGTATCTACGTATGAGTGTTCGGCATTCAAAGCATGCCATTCTTTCCGGAATGTGTACTTTCTAACAGCGCTTTGTTGGCTCTCTACTGAATGTGTTGCAGAGATAAAAGAAGAAAGAGCTCAACAAAGTTTAGACTTTTTTATGCAAGACCCCTATAAAATAAAAAAGGCTGCAGTGAGGTGGAGAAGTCCAGTTAGTACCTGCTTTATTGAGCTAGTGCTGATCGAGCGCTTGTATGGAGACTTGTCATTTTCGATTAAAGGCAGTGTCCGGGCAAAAAGTCGATTTTGAGATTTTGTGCTTACCCGGGCCTATTTCTTGCTGAATCCGAAAATCCACACTGGAGAGCGCGAAAACGGCAAAAAATAGCTTTTACACAGGATGGAAATTAGAAGGTGGGCGGGGTCTTCCCACTGTCAATTTACGCTCCAAGCTTCCGGAGCGATCTTTTCCATTCCGTTAGCCGCCCTGACATCTCCACCGGCCAAGTGCAAACGCTTGAATTGAATTCGGAAGCGAGAAGATCGCTCCAGAAGCTGCGAACGTGAATTCACAGTGGGGAGAACCCCGCCCACTTGCTGACTTCCCTTCTGTGTTAGAGCCGTTTTTTGCCGTTTTCGCCCTTTCCAGTGTGGATTTTCGGATTCAGCATGGTGAATAGGCCTGTATAAGCACAAAATCTCAAAATCGAGTTCTCGCTCGGACACTGCCTTCAAGATTGTGAGGAATTGATTTTACTGCTTTGTTTTGCTTTTCGAAGATCATAACTTTTCATAGAGACGTATGATTAGGACAACTTTGCACCGCCATACAGAAGAGCTAGTCAAATTCATGCCTCTACTGTTTTGATTTTTATTGCAAAATGTTTTTGGCAGGCTTCCTGTGTTGCTGGATAATCTCCTTCTTCTGCTTTTATCTCGAACACGTGATCATTATGGAGCCTTCAGTAATCGGAATTGGTCCGAAATCGGCATAACGGGACTGTCATCTACAGTTACGCACCTCTTGCATATACAAAAGGTACGCATATGTATGTTGAAACTGTCCTACTGGCAGACGGGTAGGAGGACGAGGACCGGTAACGGCAGAGTGGGCGTTTGCGTCGGCGAGGCGAGGCAAGCGGCTCGCGGATGCAAACCCATCGCTACCAGCTTTGCACGTCTCCTTCAATTTTGCCCTCATAAGCAGTGCCAAGCAAATATGTCGTCTCCTAAATTCATCTAGAAGCGGGCTGCGAACTTTTCCTGATCATAAGGATAAGCTTGGCGAACCTCCACCGCAACACCCATGCGACACGAACTCCCGCCATGCAATTTTTGGCTTGGTTGGGACCAGGGTAAAGCGGGGGGTGCGGCACTCGACCGTCGGATACGACCCCCCCCCCTGATTGCTGTCTTAATAAGACCCCCCTCCTAAACTATACACTTAAGATAGTATTACCTGAAGGCTCTGTCAAACATAATGGACAACATATCCATAATTAGCATGTCAAATACCCCCTGTAGACAAAGTGTGAGCGAATACTGAAGATTCAAGATACTAGGCTACCTAAGTGAAATGGTCAAATTCCAACATGGTTAACTTTGTTTTAAAGGTGAATTAGCTATCCGTTTTTGCACTCAAGACAAAGCACTACTCCTTCTTTGTCCACCTCAGGAATCCCGCTTCAGAAGACCTCCAAACTGTGGAATTAGAAGCCAACCAAAATCTCATTTTTCCCATTTTTCGCTTTTGATGGCTGTGCTTTCACCAAATATTACTCAGAGCTAAGAAGACGAATCAGGCTCAAAACATCCCTATGGAATCTACGTGGTTTAGGCTATCGATTCATATAAATATTGTCCGCTAAAAATGTTTTTTTGATATAGTTAATGGCCTGCGGCACCCCTGCGGCACCCCTGCGGCAGCCGCAGGTTTTGAGGGGGGGGGGGGGTGCCGCAGGCCATTAACTATATCAAAAAAACATTTTTAGCGGACAATATTTATATGAATCGATAGCCTAAACCTCGTAGATTCCATAGGGATGTTTTGAGCCCGATTCGTCTTCTTAGCTCTGAGTAATATTTGGTGAAACACAGCCATCAAAAGCGAAAAATGGGAAAAATGAGATTTTGGTTGGCTTCTAATTCCACAGTTTGGAGGTCTTCTGAAGCGGGATTCCTGAGGTGGACAAAGAAGGAGTAGTGCTTTGTCTTGAGTGCAAAAACGGATAGCTAATTCACCTTTAAAACAAAGTTAACCATGTTGGAATTTGACCATTTCACTTAGGTAGCCTAGTATCTTGAATCTTCAGAATTCGCTCACACTTTGTCTACAGGGGTTAATTGACGTGCTAATTATGGATATGATACGAATATCATGTTATCGCTATAATCAGATCACCTAACTACGACCCCCTCCCCTTTTGACTCCTCAATACGACCCCCCCCCCCCTCTGCGGCGTGCCGCACCCCCCGCTTTACCCTGGTTGGGACTGAGGCAGACTGTACCAATTTGGCGGCCAAAATCAACATTTCGGAAGCCGCATTGAGTCAGAACTTGAACAGGTCCATGAGAAGAAAATGAGGCCAGTTTATTAGGCAATCCATGAATTTGCATTATCGGAGTCGATTACAATGCCCACATCACCACCATACAAAAAGCGTAACAGCAGTTGCTTCGAATATTTATGAAGTGGAAAAGTTGATATACTAGGTTTGCAAAAGAAAGAAACGCAATAGAAACTCGCTGCTGCGCATCAGCTGATTCCGCGCTGTAACTGAAACTACTGGTTTGAGATAAGAGGAACATCACAGAAGAGTGTACGTTTCACATATACTGGACAGATAGGATTGATTGGCAAAGTGATAATGAAGGAGATAAACTAGCAGAAAATGGCATAATGCGGGTCTTCGGGGGTTGAACGTTCACCAGGAGATGTGAGGATTCGAAATGATAGCTTAAGAAGAAGTGCAAATGTAAGCCATATTCAAGACTAGCTTGTATATAACATGCGACGATTATGGGAATATTCATATACCACGACACTGAACGTAGAAAAGCATTTGTGAACAAAATCGCAAACGGAAGATTCAGAAACACCATTTTGATAGACATTTTTTTGTTTACATGTGTGGTAGCTTAGCAGCATCCACTGGATCCACCCAAACCACCAGTAGCGTTTCCTCCAGGCGAGTTCGGTGAACTCGGCGAATGTTGAGGTCCCAGCTTGATTCCATTAGCCTAGAAGGAGAAATTAACTACAAGTCGAAACAATCTAGAAGGGATGCGCTAATACCTCATTATTGATGTCGAACACTCCCTCCTGGATCTTTCTGTAGATTTCTTTCGCAGTATCAATAAAGGCCTAAACAATGTCATCTCAGTGTACGAAAAATTTGCGGGTTACAACGCTCCGCATTTCCATTTTCATGGGAGGACAGCCTCATATGTTTCGAAATGAGGAAATGTACTACTGCAATCTGTTACTGAATTTCTGGGTTGATACCAAGGTACGCTTATCGTATTTAGAAGAACTACCACTAAGGCAGATCAATCCAGTGTTTAAACCATTCTTGGTGCAAAGCAAGAACGAAACCAGAGAAACTCTTCTCCATAACTGACATTTCCATTTCTTGCAAAATACGATGATCTCTTTTCAGAGCTGCAACTAGCATAAACATATTCTCTCACTGCGAGAGTATTTGGGACTTACTATCCTTTTTACAAATTACAAGCCTTTTACGAGAACGTTAGAGATGGAAACGATTGAACACACTCTCAAAAAAGTAAACTAGTCACAAAAGCATCCTCTAATCTAAATTTATCAATGGGCTTTTTGTAATAGGAAAAAGCCCACAGCTTACCTCTTCCACATTAGCCGCTGTCTTTGCACTTGTTTCCATGAATACAAGTCCATGTTCTCTGGCAAATGCCTCACCTTCTTCTCGTTTCACTTCTCGTCTAGCCTCGAGATCACTGAATGACAAAAGATGTTGATAACGAATCAAATGCATAAGTCCTACAAACCTTTTATTGCCAATGAGCATTATAACCATATTGCTATTGCTATGCTGTCGAGCATCCTCCAGCCATGATGTCAAGTGGTTGAAAGTATCTCGACTGAAATTTTCTAGCTGAAGTGACAAAGCAAAGCAATGCGCACAACAACTGACACCAATCCGATTAAAGAAAAACAAACAAAGGCTTGCTGAATTTTAGAAAACGAAAACATAAAGCCATTAAGAGAACGAGTGAAACTAACCGTGTAATATCGTAAACAAGTAATGCTCCAGCTGCACCTCTGTAATATGACCTTGTGATCGACCTGAATGATTCCTGCCCTGAAAAAAAAACTGTGTCATTGCGAAGTGCAAAATACACACTGCATTAGACTCCTTTCAGTCTTTATATGATTGCTGTGCAAAGTATACCAAGTATGGAAAATAAAACGCATTCTTACCGGCAGTATCCCAGATTTGCAGCTTAATCTGCTTGCCATCTATTGTCACCATACGAGCACCAAATTCGACACCTGGAAAACATACAAGATTTGTCAATTGTACGCTAATTTCTAGTATCAATTTTCAAGACCTCGATGGCTTGATCGCAACCATAACTTCCTCGATTTAACAGGTCATAAAAGTCATAAAAGACCGCGAACCGGAAACTTCGCGTATGTGACGGATGCCACCGCAAATAGATATAATATTACATAAGGCTTTACATTTGCTCGTTTTTGCTGGGAAGATATCAGTTTTTTTGATTAGCAAGAGATAATGCCAGAAAAATGCACTCGACAGCCTCAGTCAAAAACGATGAGTGTAGATACTGAGGATTTGAACAGAAAAAACCTCTTTTTGGAAAACGAGCAAACAAGCATTGCTCTCGTAAAGTAATGATCAAATATAATGCAAGTCGTTGACCAGAAAAATACTACCAAAAAGGATGTCCGCATACCCAGCAGATTTGGTGCTACAGGCTACTATGTATATAGCGCACAACCACATTCGGACGTCTGCACTCGATTTTCTATGATTCTAAAACATTTTTCAGTTTTTTTTTCAAGAAAACCTCCACGATGTTTTGTTAGAACTGCTGTGAAAATATATTACGGTCAACATACACAAAAAGCGGACTCCATGAATTTATAATGCAAAAACTTCGCAAGACAAGGGCCTTACAATCTCAAATTTTTCAGAATGATTGAATGAATATTGAGTCACAGAACAAAAACCAAGCTCCCGGAAACAGCACGAAACATAGCATAGACTAAGATCAGTAAAACAGTACTCATATGTGAGCCTTGTTTTCCGGAATAATATTGTGCGTATATATGATATGGTCCAAATTTGGTGTCATATAAGCGCCTGTGAGAAAAAACACAACGGAGAATGTCAGTAATGTACACCAACTTGATGATGAAGTAGCTGAGCATATCTGAAGCTCAGTGCGTTCAACACGTTTGAAGACATCGCCTTCGCTGTTTGCCCCGAAAACGAAATGACTGACTTCAGTTTTGAGCTGGACCCCGATGCAAAGCAAAGATTCAAGGATGAGTAGTAAAGGCGAAGATAAAAAGAAACAAAAATTTAATTATCAAAACAGCTGTTCACAAAACGAATCAATCCTCTGGATCAAACTCACCTCAGAAATTACAATGATTACAGTATGCTAAAGCTTACAAAGCAATCAAAGCTCTCGCTATAACAATCAAGATTGTGAGAGACAGCTGACTGTCAACAGAGACGAGTGATAATTAGGCTTATGTGAATTAATCATATTAACCTCCTCCTAATGGATTTCCCTTCCCAATTTAACGTTTTTAACTTTGCAAAAAAATACCCGACTCGTACGAGAGCATTCCAGCTCGTTTCGCAATCTTGAATTCGATTATTTTATGCGTTCACAAATGGCCTTTCCGTTAAAATTCTGCATTAGAAAACTACAAATAGCGATCATAGAACTTATTTCCAAATTCAAACCTCTTTTTGGGACTAGATAGAAAGCAACTTCAAAGCAACTTAGGGACACAATGCACCACTGCGCTGAACACAAAGGGCAAATTGCAGGATACCCTTTTTGAACTATTTACATGTAATCGAAGAAAAGCACCAATAATCGTATTTGTGCAAGCATATTTTGAACCTTGCTAACTGGGTAATTTGAAAGGAGTGCAAGGACTCGTAACATGAGCTAAGGTAAGATAAATTTGTATAGTACGATTCGGAAGAGTAAACTGGGTCTGATTTACAATGGGGTGATATCACCTCAAAATTTGTGGCAAAACTCCAAAAAAAACGTATGAGATATCTCTATTTTGATATGCAAATCGCAAGTCACAAGTCTCGAGATGATGTCAAAAATCAGAATATCAACAAACCAACCGATTGTGAGATCGTGAACTGGTTGGAAGCGTTTGTCGGTAAACTGCAGTAGAAGACATGACTTTCCAACACCCGTATCTCCGATGATGATGTACTTGAAGAGATAGGCGTACGACATCTTCTGCAATGAAAAAAACTCAAGCTAGCATCTCTGCATCGATGGAAGAACATATTATTCGAGGAATTGACATGAAATTTGAGGGGATCGGGCTGGATGCAGATGAGGAGCGCAAGTCGAGCGGCGCAACAGACGACGTCATGTGCAGCAAGTATCGACCGCCTCAGCGAGCGGTGTGTCACATTGCCCGAATCGATCAGCATCAAACTAAAGGACTCGCGTTGACCGTGGAGCAAGTCGCGCGACCAGCTGATCCCAAATCGACATCCGTTAGCTTCTCGGGGACAGCCCAAGCACATTGGAGTGCGTGCTACGGTATACTTCCTCTGCGTAACCCATGCGTCGCCCTGCTAATTGATTGTGGCAAATCTGCGGGCGTAAAATCGAGTTCTTTCTATGCTTCATTGTGCAAATGCACACATCATTCATACCCACCGCGCATCCCGGTGCGGGTAGAGGAACTAATATCACTCGTTCTCTGACTAAGACACACGGACACGCTTTGCATATGTCTGACTAGCAGGTTCATGAGTGCGTTCTAAGCCCTCGGGCAGAGTTCACGCGATTTGATCGTCGCGATTGATCGCAACAAGACAATTGTAACAATATCATTGGCCGATCTTCTTGCATTTCGGTTGTGATGATTTTCCAACATGATCAATCGTGACTAACTATCACAACCGAAATACAAGAAGATTGGCATGCAATGAACTCGTAATACTTGTCTTCTAGCGATTGAATCGCGGTGACCAAATCGCGTGAACTCTGTCCGAGGCCTAAAACGCGTTTTGGATGATTTACTTAAGGATTCGTGAAAACATGTTCGAGCTCGTTATACATCGCGATTCAGTTCGATCACGTTCTTTCACGAATTCCTAAATAATTTACCAGCGGTAAAGGCCGGACAAGGTGGAGTTTTGGGATTCCAGTGCCATGCGAAATTGGGTCCCCTCGGACATGCCGTCGCACAAGTGTGAGGCCATAACGTTTGACCACAAACAAGAAATATGGTTGAGCTGGAGAACTAACGCACTGGGGCGGGGCTCCCCACCTATTTAAATTTCTGCTCCAGCAGGGTACGCTTGTCGCCACAGTTAAAGGCACCATCCACCCAAAATTTCGATCTCCATGTTTTTGCCGTTCCAGGGCCTTCTCATACCCCTGATTCCGAATATTAAGCTGAAAATCCGCGAAAACCACGAAACCCCCGTTTTCAGGACCCGCAGAGCGATTTCTTCGGTACGGTGATTGGTTGGGCGCGCACTGGTGGGCGGGACGAACGTCACGCCCAGAGGTGCGATAGGGGGAGCCAAGTCTCCCCCTACCTTCACTTTTGAGCTGGTACGGGGTGACCACCTTCACTTTTGGAATAAAAAATTTTTCGCTGGACGACAAAGAAGGAAAATAAGCAAAACAAACGCAAAAAAGATTATTGAAAGCATATATTTATGTATACGGCGGCATATATATTTAAAATAAAGGTTTTTAGTAAATGGTGTATTTGGAAGTAAAGCTTAGCAAAACTGTACGGATTTTATTAAGCAAATTATGTTATAACGTATAGCGAAGGAAGTAGGTCGATCCAGGCAGTAACGGCGGAGAACCAGAATTTTGAATATTTAAATAGTGAAAAATCATGCGAAATTTCCACTGTTATAAATCTGTTGTTTGAAGATGTCAGCAGTTGCGACTTCATAGGTTTTGAAGAGTAGATGTTGCTCTATCAGCTAGTGAAGGAATCGGGTCGATTTAAGAGATAGTCGTTGAAAACCAGAGTTCTAAAACTTTACGCCATTTTTGCGTGTTTTTTGACTGTTGAGAGTTAAACTCTTATAAATCTTGAATGTGGAAGTGTATGATGTTGCGACTTCATAGGTTTTATAGAGTAAGGTTTGCCTTATCAGAATATGTCTTGTCCGTTCCGATCCATTGAAACACCTCCGAGATCCAGAGTCATGAAAAAGCAGGTAAAAAAGAGCTTTTTGAACTTCAACAGCTCATAACTTCTTCAGAACTGCATGAATCATGTTGCGACTTCATAGGTTAGATTCCTCTCATCAAGGGCTTTCAGATGATATATATCATGTGGGGGTTTAGAGCCTCCTGCGAATTATGACCGGGGGGGGAGACTTTTTAGGCCAAAGTCTCCCCCTCGCCCATTTTAATGTATTGGCTGGAGGCTGCCGGGGGAGACTTTGGCCTAAAAAGTCTCCCCCCCGGGCATATGCCGTAAGAGGCGCGAAACCCCCACATGATATATATCATCTGAAAGCTCTTGACGAGAAGAATCTAACCTATGAAGTCGCAACATGATTCGTGCAATCCTGAAGAAGTTATGAGCTGTTGAAGTTCAAAAAGCTCTTTTTTACCTGCTTTTTCATGACTCTGGATCTCGGAGGTGTTTCAATGGATCGGAACGGACAAGACATATTCTGATAAGGCAAACCTTACTCTATAAAACCTATGAAGTCGCAACATCATACACTTCCACATTCAAGATTTATAAGAGTTTAACTCTCAACAGTCAAAAAACACGCAAAAATGGCGTAAAGTTTTAGAACTCTGGTTTTCAACGACTATCTCTTAAATCGACCAGATTCCTTCACTAGCTGATAGAGCAACATTTACTCTTCAAAACCTATGAAGTCGCAACTGCTGACATCTTCAAACAACAGATTTATAACAGTGGAAATTTTGCATGATTTTTCACTATTTATTTATTCGAAATTCTGATTCTCGGCCGTTACTGCCTGGATCGATCTACTTTCTTCGCTGTACGTTATAACAAAATTTGCTTAATAAAATCCGTACAGTCCAACAAACTTCTACTTCCAAATACACCATTTACTAAACACGTCTATTTTAAATTTTTATAAATATAATTTATAGATATTTTTAATATTCATCGTAACTGTGGCCCTAAAGAGGGCCGTTGGGTCGACGTTAGACCTAGAAAGATAGCTCCGTTCGTCCGTTCTATCCTCCCCCCGCACCTCCCCCCCCCCCCCCCCGTCGACGTTTTTGGGAGGTGAGTGTCCGGCACTACCACCTTCACTTTTGGCTGGCCAGTGGTAGCTGAAACCACCTTCACTTTTGGGGGACCCGGCTCCCCCTATCGCACCTCTGGTCACGCCCACTCCGAAAGGGGAGGAGCCAGCATTGCGAACGCGGCCTGAAGCGATTTCCGAAGCAATTTTCTCTGTTCGGAAGCAACTTCAGGCAGCGTGAGTTGGGCAGTCATACAGTTGGGGGCCCCGCATCTGCTAGGTATCATAATCTCACCAACCTCAATTTGGGTGGACGGTGCCTTTAAAGTCATGAGGTACGGCAGCGACTCTGCGTCTTAACCTTGGCGGGAACTTCTATTTCATATTGTAAGCCTTTGTAAAACGCATGTTTTCGCCGTCTTCGCGCTTAATGCAGATTTTCGAATTCACCGTTGCAAATAACCCTAGTTCCTAGAAGTCGAGTTCTTGCCCTGAGGCCTAAGACCTAAGGCATACTTCGCGCGATTCCGGTCGATTTGCCAGATTTCTAAAGATTTATCGTGCGCTTCTCGAACGCATAGGCGGGAGCTTGTGTAAGTTATTGCAAATGGGCTAACTCCTGACCAAAAGAAGCGCATTAGCGACGAATTACAAAGAATCGCTGTTATGCCAAATCGCACAGCGACCGGAATCGCGCGAGGTATGCCTTAAGCCCCGGAGAGACTTCACGCGATTTGATCGTCGCGACACAATCGCCGACATTTCCATTCATTTTCATTCCACATTCAAAAATTTTGGGCTGGAAAAGTATCACAACCGAAATGCAAGTTGATCGGCATGGAATGATGTTGTAACAGTTGTCTCGTCGCGATTCAGTCGCGACGATCAAGTCGCATGAAGTCTGTCCGGGGCCTTAGGCTTAAGGCGACATCATGCGATTTCAGTCGCTGCCCGATGCCATATAAGAGCTCCTCTAACTGGTCGTAAACTCACTTTGCTTGGACCAAACTTTCTGCATCTGGTACAACTCAGGAAATCTATGCGCCAATGCATCTAAAAGCCGCACATGCCTAATATGTAGACATCTGGCAAATGGCCAAGTCGCGGGCATTTGGCGATTTCACGGAATCGCGGGAAGTATGCCTTAGGCCTGACACTGAGCTTCTGGCCTAGGAACAATTTTTTATTAAAACGAAGGATGGCACTTCTTTTACATTCTTTACTTTTTCACCTGCCAACAAGTATTTACTGAAAGCTAGCGTTCGGGCACGTATGACGTTAACGAGAGAGAAGCAGATTACATTAGTGTCAGTTCTGAGAAACTCTTCGCGGCTTCATATTCCGAATCCCTCTGCAAATACTTTTGCTACCTCTTACTATAAACTTAGTGAACAGGAGCGAAAAGATGTATAAGCCGCATTTTCCAGCTTTAAATATGTTCCCCTGATGATCTCCAGCTGGCGAACGTCTTTTCTTTAAAGTCAGAATATCTTTCTTCGATGTTAATGAAAACGTTTCAAAATGGTACTGATAAACCATATCGTCAAAAATTCAGGGGTTACTTCGACCTGCTGATCACGAAAATAACACTCATTTCCCACGGGGCCCTTTTTTGATGGGTTACGGTAGGCATATGGTATGGAGTCCAAAACTAATTTCGCTAAAACTTTGTAGGGTATTCGACATGCTGGGCAAAATATCACACTCTTTCCGCACGAAAATGTCTTCATGTATGGTCACGGTAGGTGTGCGGTAGGGCGTCAAAATCTAGATTTGGCTGGAATCTGGTCTGGAGGGATTATTTGGCATGCTGACCATAGATACCATATTGATCTCGTGCGGTACCAACGTTTTCTCGAGTTACGGTGGTTATACGGTACGTAGATAAACTTCCAGATTTGTTCAAAACGTTGCCTACAAAACTTTTCAAATAATATCAAGCTTGTTCGCTGCAGCAACGCTTTATCGTGAGTTATGGTGATTTTGCAGCGTCTAGGTAACCATCCTTCCCGTTGTTAGACCAAGTGAGATCCTAAAAACCCACGAAAAGGCTTTATAAGCGAAGTGAGCGCGATATTTGCGTGCAGCACTTCAGGTCACTCCTCCACAAGGTTTCAGGCAGGTTTACGGTTTTGACCCTTTCCATGTACCCATCGTAACCATACAAGTAGAAGTTTTCGTGCGCAAAATGGGTGATATTTGTGATCAGCATGTCGCATAACCTCCTTATAAAGTTTTAGCGAATTCTAAGATCCTGGCCTACCTTAATCCTACCCTAACCCTACCAAAAGTCATTTTCATGTCAAATGAATTTGGTACTTGAGATCAGCATATCGAATAATCCCACTACGCAAAGTTTTAGCGAATTCTGAGACTTAGACCCCATACGTACACTTACCGTAACCTCAAAAGCCCCACCATGCAAAATAAATGTCGTTTTCGTGATCAGCAGGTCGAAGAACCTCCCCCCCCCCTAAGCGAATTTTCAGCAAAACCTCGTAAATTTCAATTTCTGGGTTTTATTGAGTGGAATAGTACCATACAATACATCATTTGTTCCTTTTTAAACATGATCAGCACTGTTGAGTTAGATTATCAATAGAACTTCGGAATTCTCTGAAGTCGAAGAAAGAAGAATGATTCTAATCGACCGCCGAGAATCACTAAGGGATCACAAATACTGCAAAATTCGACTTATACAACAATGCGCTCCTATTCGGTATGTTTATTGAAGGGCTATAGGAGTACTTACGGATGGATAGACAGCGCACCAGATATCTGGAGATTGAGACTATGAAACATTCTATTGAGCTGCGATTCTCCCTGGCAGGAGTTAATGCATTTCTTTTTCTAAAAAAAATCTTGCAACAAATCTATCTTGCTTCATAAGCAAGATGGAGAGGGAAGGCGAGATACGAGCATTCCCTCTCACAAGGGATGGATACTTGATCAAAGTGGCGTTTCCATGCAAAATGTACAGGGTGTCCCAAAAAAATTTGAACACTGTTTCATCATTAATAACTCTCTTGCTTTCATGTCTTTCGCCGAGTTTGAGGCACCATTCTGTAGAGCGAGGTTTGACTTATATTTGTAGTATGGAGCGAATCACCGATCGCTCTTCGTTACTGTAGGATTACGGTACGAACTTCTAGCATGTGAATCCATTGTGAAATATGCCATTCGACAAAATTTTTCTCAAAAAATCTGAAAAATCGTGTACTCAGGTTTTTGTGCACGCTGATTCCACTACACAACTTTTTATGAGTGCTTTTAGCTTTTTTGATGGTGTAATCACATTTCTGACAAATGCTGGAAATTCATTTATTACGGTTTACCTTGGATAACCTTGGAAAGAAACATCACAATGAAGCGGAAATTTCATATTCGAAATCAGCCGCTTCCATTACCATAGTACAAAAGTTTTTGGCTTGTTTGGTTTTGTTCCGAGGAAAGTATGGCCTCCAATGGCCTAAAATCCTTGTCGAAGTTGGTACCGTAATCCTACAGTAATGAAGGGCCATTGACGATGCGCTCCAAACAATAGATCTAAGTTAATCCTCGCTCTATAGAATGGTGCCTAAAGCTCGGCGAAAGATTTGAAAGTAAGGGAGTTATAAACAATCAAACAGTGTTCACATTTTTTTGGGACACCCTGTATTAGGTCATTTCAAAAGTTCGTTCGCATTGTTCTTTAAAAAATCGTAACTATCTGCTATCTGCCTGGATTTGCTCTGGATAATTTTTCTCTAGAATGAAGAGATTATGTAGTTTCTAACTAAGGCTTATATTCGTTCTGCTAAGCACAAGTTGCAGAGCCAAAAATGCAAAAAGAAGACCACTCAAATTTTGTTAATTTCAAAAAGGCTCACCAGAAATCTTAAAACGTTAAAAAAATACTGAAACGAACACAAACATACTCTTTATGATCTCTTTTTTCTAGCTAGGCAAACTCTTTGCTGAACGAATGTTCCTAAGAAAAGTAATGATTTTTTAGGGACTTGCTATCCGTTTTCACGAAAATCAAAATTGCTCTCGATTAGCACGAAACTTTCTTAGCTAGAAAGTGGAGGTCATAAAACCTTTATTTATAACAGTTTCGACCTCCGTTATGGCGCTTTCAGGTTTTTTTGGGCGTGCTCAAAAATTGCAAAACCGAAGCAATTCTTTTCAAATGCTTCTAACTCGTGAACTATTGCATAATAATCCATGGGAAAGGTGCCATGTAATATGCAAAAACTTCTCTTTTAAGCAAAAATAGTTCCAGAATTTTTCGTGACCCTGCTTGAAAAATGCCAATCCTGAGTGATTGCCTTCAATTGCTTCTAACTCTCAAAATTTCTCATATTAACTCACGGCAGAAGCACTGCTGTAAAACGCATAGCTTTTTCTTTAAAATAATTATAATTACGAGAAAATTTATCAAGGAAACATGTTATGAGTTTTTGAAAAACTGGTGAACGAACTTTTGAAATGACCTAATATACTGTTTTATAGAGCATGGAATGCTGAGTTCAAATCTATCTTCGGCATTTGCAAAGCGCTTCTGGGATGGGAGTTATGGAGATTTTTTTGATGCAAAAATTTGAAAGCGCCGCTACAATAAAATCATTCGGAAGCTTAGTCCGTGAGTTCAAATGGGGCCGTGATTGCTACTAGGGTGTTTCATGGAATAAGGCCTTCGAATTAATAAACTCATGTCAGTTATAACTCCTTTCAAGTGCCGATGACACCTTAACACCTTTTTAATCTTACAATTAGCCAAATAATTGTATTTCTACCTCAAAAAATTCGCATAACTCCCCTCCCAGAAGCGTTTTGCAAATAACGAAACAGATCTGAAATCAGCGTTCAATGCTCTATAAGATAATATACATATCATATGGAAACGCCACTTCGACCAAGTATCCTTTCTTTGTCAGATCCCCTCCCCCCTCCCCTCCCCAGCAGGGATGTACGTGCATACGGACCTAAATGTAAAAACTTTGCTGTTTCGTGGTAAGATTTAGCGACATCGTTGTCCCTTTTGTGTCACTTTGAGGTGACAATAAAATTAGGATGAATAGCTTCCGTAGAGGTATATGAATCAGACGGGTATCTGATCGTGTAATTTGGACGCGTACAAGGCACAGTCCATTTCTACAATTTTATTAGGAGGAGAGCTATGTACAAGATCAAAACCACAAAGTTCACATCTTTCTGGTCGCCAAAGTCAGTATGGATGAGATCGTTGAACCACTGGAGATGCTTGATTTCCTGCGTGTTTTAAAAGTTGTTTTTGCGTCTAGTGATTGTAGTAAAGGTAGCATGTCTTGCGCAGCATTCCTGAAAATGTTCCAGTTTTGTTGGAGACCAAAAAAGAGATTGTAAGCCACCTGTATTGTTTGTTGAGTCGGTGTGATCTGTTGCAGACAACAGTCCAACCTGGATTTCCTATTATGCTTAGAGAAGTGAGGTTGGGGCAAGACCTGCGCAGATTGTAGAGAAGAGTGGGCACGTCCCGAACCTAGCGAGAAGATTCTGCTAACAAAAGTCGTATATCTATAGTCCTCCTCTTCCCAATAGGCACCTGGTAACAATTTTGGATTTGAACTGAAGGAGGCCGTTCGCGAGAGGGACGGCAGGAGGCAGCAAAGGTTGGCCGCATTTGTTTCCGGAAATGCGTGGGAAGCTCCAGACTTTTGGGTCTCTAAAATTCTCCTCTAATTTTCTTCTCTAGCGCTTCTAATTACTTCACAAGCAAGAATATCAAACAAAAAGCTTCTTCAAGAGTATTTTACCTTAGACCAAGTCGGAAACCTTGCAATTTCTTTCATTCTCAGCTGTAACAGTATACAGAAACAGCCTACAGAAAATCTGGTCCACAGTAGTTTCCTTCAGAATTCATGGAGTAGAAAGGAACAAGACTGCCGCGAAATAAAAAACGGGCTATCAGTCTTGTTTTCGGTCGAGATTATTAACACGAAAAAGATTCACAAGAATTTGCTCAAAACTCCGGCTTGAAGATTTGGCAGCCAAGTTAAACAAGAATTTGCTCAAAACTCCGGCTTGAAGATTTGGCAGACCAAGTTAAAATCCCATATCTACTCAAATCTAATTTTTATACCGCCTTCGATGTTGAATTGCGCTTCTATAAACCTTTTCTAAAACTTACTATTTCATTCGCTTCGAATACGAAACATGAAACCTACATCTTACCAGACTTGGAAAGTTTACGAATAATTAGCATAGGTCACGTCACATAGATACTTAGAGATTGAAGAAGTAATTAGAAGCGCGAGAAATTCTAGAGCTCCTCAGGTACTTCCATAAGCGGAAACGGCAGCCTTTGCTGCCTCCTGCCCGAAGGTCGCGGTAGAGCAAGGCACCATCTAAAGCAATTTAGAGGCAACGTCCAAGCAAGTCTGGACACATGAAGATTCCACATGAATATAATTTTGGGGCCCTAACTAAGCCACTGCCAAACAGGCAGTCAAGGTAGTGCTCTAACCAGTTTGGAGGCGTATATTTCAGCTATTGATGAGTCACCTGCGCTGCCGCTTGGGCAGTGCCTTAGTTAAGGCCCCAAAGTTACTTTGCACGTAATCCCTTACACTGCAAAAGGATCAGTTACCAGCGGAGGCGGCTCACCCTACCTCAGTTATGACAATCGTCCATCAGATGTCTACTGGGATGAAGACGACTATACCTTAGCGTGTTACACCTACCCTGTTCACATCAAGGCTCAGTGTTTTAAGCATAGGAAAGGCAGGAATATCAAAAGAGTGTTCGTTCAGGAGATTATCATCAGCAATGAGATGAACCATAGTTCTTCGATTCTCCAGTACAATAATAGGCAGAACCCTATAAATGGACGTATTTTACAGACTCGTATCTCATCAGTGTTAAAAAACAAACAAAAGAATCCTAGCAACATTCATGTAAATTTTGTAGAGTCTGGCAACTTATCCCTTCGCTCAGCTTTCACTCCGCCCCCACCTTCGTGGTCCTACTGAAATGCCCAGAAGCCATAGCGGAATGTGATTTTGATAGTTTGATATAGAGGTGGACGGCTAAGGATTCAGTGTTGCCCGTGCTAATGCGTGTTCTCTGTTTCCAGCCCTATTCCACCACGACACTGGCACGGTGCTGGAAAAGAGTTGGCACAGTGCCAGTACATGGGTACCACTAGACGCTGATTACGAGGCAGGTAGCAGCTGTACAGTGCCGAGTACAATTTATGCTTTGTACGGTTCAACCAACAGTTAATTCCACATAAGTTACGTTTATTTCATACCAGCGCAAAAAGTAGCGGCTGGAGGGCGTAAATTGTGGTCAATGTGAACTAGGTGATTTTATTTTACATTCTTGTCATCAAAATACAATTTCAACGTAGAAACTATGTATCCGCAACGCGTGGGTCCTGCAGACCGTCAATTGATATAGCCTATTTGATACCAAGCCATACACGCGCGAACGTGACGCAGAGCTCTGGCATGGGGCTTGCGGCAATGGAAAAGGGAGTTTGCAAATGACCCAGACTGTATGACCTTATTTATGTGAACTTGTATGCCGTATGACCCATGAATGAAAACAAAAAGGGAGCCGACTTTTCTTGGAAACGAAGAAAAACAAAAATTCCATTCTTGGACTAACCTATGCATCTGGCCAGAGATATCTACTGCGAGAACGTTCTGGCCATCATTTATGATGAAAGCGGACGATCTGTTCGGTGGTGAACGATGGTAGCACACAGTGGCACGAGCTGAGCTCATGCGAAAGTCTTCTAAAACAAAACAACTGTATGGCAACCATGCAAGACAAAAGACACCCAAACAATTGTGTTATCAGCCTGGTACCGTTCCAGGTCAGATAACGAATGGCCCAGCTGATGGCGACCTAGTGAAAAGTGCGATTTCCTGAGGCACTCCAGAGTGACCAGTCAATATGGCACGCGGGAAAAGTATGAGCAGAAAATAGTATTGTTCAGTTGAATGAGTAGGAATCAATCGAATGTTTTTTAAATAATTTTCCAAGAAAGATCATCCTTAGGCATTACTGCGTTTTTATGGTCTACAGTATTAATAGGCTGGCACAAAATTCTAGGGATTCAGAATTAATTTCAATAATTTTCCCAGTCTATCAAGATAATATTGCATTTAAAACGTAGAAGAAGGCTTGCCTCATTACAGTGAAAGCGATGTTGGTCATCCTCGGGAGCCAAGCTTTCCAAAACAACACTCTAAATTCCTGAATCGGAGAAAAAAACACTACTCTCAGATTGTGCAAAATTTCCGGAAATTCCGCGGAATTCCGGGAAATTTTGCACCTCTGAGAGTGGTATTGTACTAATGCGCTGCCAGCTAACCCCAGATAATCTGTAATGAATTTCTTATATAACAGTAGTTAATATATCACTGTGGCAGGCTTTAATCTTGCGGATGCAAAACAAAACCGTGAAAATGTCAGTCTGCTAGAAAAATTCTCCTATTACCGCGTTTTCTTCACAAAACTACAAATCCAGACCAGAAATCCTGCCTAAAAGTTCATCAAGAACACTGATGTTTTTGAGGTCAGGCCGTACTTTATTGAAGAAAAAACGCATCCATCCTCTACCTACCTAGGAACTGTTACGAATCCTTGCTTGTTAACCTTGAGTAAAAATCGAAATGCACTTTATTACACATGGGAAACTTTAGCCAACTGATACAACACTCTTATGATTCGCTACAGTTTGAAAATACTTTTTGAAGATTTTTTGCTGAACACAAGCGCACAAAACTTGGAAAGCTGCAATTACTCTACAATGCACAGATGACTGATGAGATTACGGTGTAAGGGCATGAGAGAGAAGATGTGAAAAAAAAATGACAAATGGCGTCTCGACATCCCGTGAACTTCTACTACTAATCAATCATCCTACACCTCTTCAGCGAAATTGTGGCTAGAACTTGATGCAACTTGCAACTCTGAAGTGTAAGATAAAAGCTTTTAAAAATGGCTGCAAAACGAAAAAAACTCTCTTTTTGCAACTCTGACCTTCAGCGATTTTTGAATCACTTTAGGCCGCAAAATAGGCATGGACAAAACCAAAATGCCCTTCGCAAGCGAGGTATCCGCAAGCTTCTCACTACAAATGAGCGCAAGCATTAATCCAAACAAATCAAGGTTAACTCACGATTTGAATATCAGTGCTGGCGTTTTCTTCTTGGTAGACAACAGAATTATTTGGCAACATGTAGTTTTTAGTTTTGAAGCCGTACCATCTAGGATCGCGGCACCCTACTGCTTACAGTTCTCAGCGCGCTCATCAATGTTCTCAGATTATAATCTACAAATTCAGAGATGGTCAGTTTGTTTTAAACGGAAAAGGGCGGGACTGCATTTTAGAACGAAAAATACTCTCCAGAAACTTCTCATAACAGCGATTAACTGGTGTAGATTTTCGGATGACATGCATTATCGTCTTCCGCCCCGATAATGGGTCGCGACATATGATTGTGCGCAACGTACATGTAAATATTCAGAAAATTCCCTAATTAAAGACCTAAAAGCTTTGTGAAATTTTTTCGAGGATGTGATTGGCTGCGCTCGCTTTTTCGGAGAAATTTTGAGGTAACAAGAGTGCAACAATTTTGGAAAATTTTTCCGCATGGAGCACTCTCATTTAGAAAAATTTTCCTTCGCCCCCCCTCATCTCCGCGAAAAAACCTCTGAGAACTGTCACTGCGTATTTAGCACTTTATTCGTTTCGTTAGGTGCTAGTTTGATCCAGTTACTCAAAAAGTAAATCTGCAAAGTCCAAAAAATCCAGAATAGATCTGTTGACCTTTGCTGACACGTAATCTGCTAAGCTTCCACGTTTCCAGCCATCTTATACCATTATAACTTTTTCAGAACAAATAATCAAGTTTCCAAGTTCTAGGTTATGGAAAATTCTGAACTACTTGTGGATGCGAAGGAGAAAACTGTACTCAAAATTGAATAGGTCGTCAAAATGATAAAACATCCAAAAACATGCTTGTGAAAACATTTGGAAAGAAAGTACGAAAAAGTAGAACGACTCATCGGTATTCTCGAAGCTCAAAGAAAAAATAAGAATTTTATGGAAGCAGAGATCAAGGTCAACAAAGTCTAGTATTACGAAAAAATTGTCCACCGTTTTTCTTATTGACACTGTGCGTTAAAACTTTATCTTTATTCTAAATGTGGTTTGAGTGATTCCGCCACTTTTGCGAACTGTTGTAAAGCAGACCCGAGGGGAGTTGGGGGGGGGGGGGGGACAGAGTCACTATTATGCTTGAGAAAGCATGTAGCAAGAGAAACTAACACGAAGCGGTCTATAGGAAAAAGTTCTGTACTTTCTCAATCTGCGGCAGTCAGCGAAAATCTATAGGGGATTCCAAAAATCGTGACGATGGCGTGACCGCGCGCGACACGCACGCATCTCCCGGCAACCGCATTCTCTTGGTTTTCATCTCTACTCGAATGGTTTCTGCTCACATATGACAGTATAGGTATTGGAAGTGACTGAGCTGAAAGTTGAGGTGATGCCTTCTTGAGTGTTTTTTGCTCTTGTGGGAGCAAAGACCGCATTCAAATCCGTCGTCACTATTTTACAAACGACCTATACAAAATAGTGCAATTACATAAGAGAACTGTAAAAATGAGGACTGTTACACACTCTGGTAAGTTACTAGACAACGAACAATCAAAAATCACATCAATATGAGTAAAGAGATTGGAGACAATCTCAACCCGGCGTGAACTAATGATCTATTGATTTCTCAATCTGGTGGAAGATTTGGTTTTAATCTCTACTGCACCTCTTCATTATAATTCTTAGAAATGTACTCTCGACCAGCCATTGTTCAGAAAAGATTCTCGGGCATCGTATCGCTTCCGTGGCTGAAAAAGAAACCCGTTGCACTTTAGAGCAAAGACCACAAGCGCACTTCTATGGACAGACGTCTGCGTTACACCGTATGTCCTTGATTACACCCGGGAAACTGCTTTCCTTTACAGTTCTCTCCATCCGTGCTGTGTGACGAAACTTCCTCATATTGCTGATAAATTGATTTCATACTACAGTCTGTCGTATTATATTTTCTCTTACCTTGACAGTTTTTTCAAAAAATAGATATGTCTCTTCTTTTTTGTTTACAATTTCAGCACTGCCCAAAAAGAAGCATACTATCAAGTTGACACTGGTTCCTGCATTTGTATCAAATCTCTTGACTATGTGTAGCCTAAATAATAGAATGCAGCTACCAAACCCTGAAAAATCAATAAAAAATTTTCATATAACAGTAGTCCATACACTAATGTGGCAGGCATTGTATGTGCGTAGAAACAAAACAAAAAATCGCAGAAATTGTCATTTCACAGGGAACATATTTCAATCACCACTCTTTTCCTGCAAAAACAAAATCTGACACCCAAAGAAATTCACAGTTCTAGCCAAGCACTATATAATTATTAGTCTCAAGCTATGATTTTGTGATGAAAATGGGTGATAGGGGAGTTTTTCCGCAAATTAATGTTTCAAAAAAATTCGTGTTTGCACGATGCGGGATTGAAGCTTGCTACAAAAACGTTTTTGGCCACTGTTATGTAGGAAATCTTTGCAAAATTTTTGGGGCTAGCTAGCGGCTTTTACTTCTTTCGAGACCAAACTTTTTGTTCTTTCGAGACGATTTTTTCCATTCAAGAATCTTGAAGTTTATGAAAGCTTGTCAATCTGCAGATAGAGGACAAAACGAAGTGGCATTTGGACTGTCATAAAGCGCAATTTTTTCCAGTTTGTGATTATGAAAAAGGATTTTGAATTTTGCAAGAAGTTTCACAGCAACTTAACGTTTATTTGGAAACGTTGAGGTGGAAACTCTCGTTGGAACAAGCTTCAGCTCTAACTTTGATTGAAAAGTCACTACTAGCAATCATAAGTAACTACAAGTTACCAATTTTTACTCTTTGATTTCTTGTTTATCATTACTATCTATCATGGAGCACAGGATGGGCAAGGTGCACTAGAGGCAAAGTTTTTTTCAATTTGTTTTTGTTTGTGTTTCAGCTGTCAGACTTTTTGGCCTAATACGCAAACACAAGTGCCTTTGATTTGAGTTGCACAATATTAGTGCATCTCAATAGACGGCATTCGTCAAACAATATGAACGCAGACACAAGTTCTATCTGATGAACTTTGTGTCAGATGGAGTGGGTGTTGTGCCTCAGTTTCGTTGGACTATGACAGCTCAAACAAAAACAAAAATTACTTTAGTCCCAAGTGAACGAAATCTATCATTGCTGGCCTAAATTGCTCAACAAGTTGAAACTTGTGCACAATTCCCGTCTTGAAGTCTTTCCACGTTAAACAAGTTAGTCGATATCATCCCATATGTCTTCCCTCAACATGACGTGGATTACGTGGCTTTATGAGGCGCCGCCTCGCCTCGGGCTTGCGCCACGTTGTGTGCGCATTTTCGGCGTGATGTGGCAACAAGAAGAACGCGGAAAAGCCTGCGCCACGTTGTGTTGAGCGCCACGTCGCGCCAAATGATGCGCTCGCAACGTGGCGCGAACCCGAGGCGAGGCGGCGCCTCATCAAGCCACGTAATCCACGTCATGTTGAGGGAAGACATATGGAACGATATCGAGGGTACAATCTCCCGATCTCAATTGGGAGAGATTCTACCGTTGTAAAGAGCGGCTTCTCCCGATCAGCCCTCGTTCATACTCAGACAGTCGAAGGGATACCTCCGGAGAGGCCCGGGACCCTCCCATTTTCGCTCCGGAGGTATCCCTTCGTCTGTCTGAGTAAGAGTGAAAGAGGACTCGACCACACATCAAGAGACTGATAACCGTCCATAGTCTCAAAATATATGTACGTTACAACTTGGCCATGCCGATCAACTTGCATTTCGGTTGTGATACTTTTCCGGCCCGAAATCTTTGAATGTGAAATGAAAATGAATGGAAATGTCGGCGATTGAGTCGCGACGATCAAATCGCCAAGATTTCCATTCATTTTCATTTCACATTCAAAAATTTCGGGCTGGAAAAGTATCACAACCGAATGCAAGTTGATCGGCATGGAATGATGTTGTAACAGTTGTCTCGTCGCGATTCAGTCGCGACGATCAAATCGCGTGAAGTCTGCCCGGGGCCTAAGACTACGAGACTCGAGAAAATGCAAACGCTGTCAAACAAGCTTGATGGTGTAATTGGCAAGTTTATACCTGCAATCTATGTATGTTATCTCGGATTGCTTATCAAGAAAAACACGATAGAACAAGTTCCAGATTGTTCAAACCTTGTACGCGAAGCGTTCTCGAGCTCCTAGTTTCAGAATAGATGATGAGTATATGCATAATTTCATTTTGCTCCGAAACCATACCGTGATACATATACAGACCTAGATGATCATAAGATGAAAAACCGAGATCGAAAAGATGAAGAAACCTTCAAAAAAAAAGATGTAAAAGGGCATAATGGTAATATGAACCCGCAAAGGTGGGTGATACCTTTGGCTGCTTTTGATCTCTAATACATCATAATACGTCACTTGATGATCGAAACAGAAACCTTCATATGCTCGTTGGCCTCGAGGATTCGCGCACACCTTAGATTGCGTCATATGAGTTGTCATAATAAGTTATCGTTAACGATTATAACAAGTTCTTTTGCCATCAGTGGCTGTTGTCTGCTGCTGATACGTAAATTCATTCTATACATTTCATATAGAAGTTCTCGTCATTCATTTTACTGCATTATTATTGACCAGTGTGGGGTGGGAGTTCAATTGATTATACCAAATCTAAACGTCATGATTATCTGAAGCATGTGATTAACCTTGAACATGGTTGTGATTTCGCGATCCTTATGATCTGCCTCTTTCTTCCGAGCGCATCTCATGACATGCGTTTAGAAAAACCATGTATTGAAGTTCTTTGACGTGACTGCTCCTATAATCTTATGAAAGTAACTTTCTCACAACTATCTTCTAAAAGTCCAGAATTTTTTAGTTGACAAGTGGTGCTAAGGCCTGAAAAAACCTATGTAATCATCAGTTTTAGAAATGATTAAGAAATTCATTTTATACTACGTATTCTTGTGACATAGATGTTCTAATCTACGCATATTTTGGAATCAGCAAGAATCTCTCTCATTTGAAAAATTAGCCAAGTCGCAATAAGAAGTGAAAATTTTGGACCTATTGCCTTTTTTGGCGACTAGAACTTTCAAAAATACGACTTAGAATTTTTACGCTTTCATACCCTTTGATTCAACTGGCTTGGCGGCTGAAAAAGAGGCTTCGTGACCTAATTAGGGCTAGGTAGTGATGAGACAGCACTCGCGCGAAAGAGACGCAGACTGCGTTGCGGGCGCGAGCGGCCTCAGTTAGGTCACGAAGTCCCTTCTCCAGCCGCCAAGCCAGTCGAATCAAAGGTTATACAGCTAGGTTATAAGCTTGTGTCCTCATGATATGCCAATACGCTTTTTCGCTCGAAGTAAATCTAGAAAGTGCACAGTTTTCTCTCTCATTTACAGCGAACATATTTTTTGAAACCAAAAAAACACGATTTTTCAAATATGTTTTTGCCTTACGGAGCAACCTAACAGATATACTTCTTCACTTGCATATAAATAATGGATGCGAAGCACAAACCCGTTAACGATTACTCTACAAAATCTGCTTTGAAGATGTCATTTTTCAGCCTCACACGTATTTTATTCCCTCTTAACCCTTATACACCTTTGAATCTCATTTCTGGCCATCATTACACACTCGTACTGCCTCACTATTTCGTATCAAACTATTCAGTTCTATAAACTTCATAGATGCTTTATTTACAGGTATGATAATTAAGAAGACCTTCGACGAATCCGAAGAGATTGTGGTCTCCAAAAAAGAGGTCAGTACCAGTTATTTTATGACCTATAGAGATATTGATTAATTCGGAAATTCAATAACTATGGACTGTTCTCAATAAGAGTGTCACTTTCCAGCGGCTCTCCACGGACGCCTCGCTCGGCTTTGCGCCGCGTTCGCAAACATTTCCGTTTTTCAACAAAGCATGTTCTCAGCTTTGAATGCGTAGCTTGAAAAAAGCCCAGAGGCAATGCCGAACGCGGCGCAAGGTCTAGGTGAGGTGGCCGGAGAAAATTAGTTGTTGGAGCGGTCACACTTTGACTACGACAGTCTGAACAATCAAGATAATTCATAACCCGCCTTAGCTCCACGGCATGCATTATCGTCAGGGCTCGGCACGAGGTGGCTTACAAGCAAGCTGGATATCGTTTTTGAGACGAAAAGCAAAGGGGTTTCGTTTTTTGACCGAAGAGACACGCGCAATTGGCGATCTGGCGACGTTTTTTTCAGACGACGTTTCGTTTTTTGGGGAATGGGGATTTTTTTAGGTTTTTAGAGGAAATGTGGTTGAGGGTCAAAGGGGACTTCGTAAAAATTCTCAAAGTCAAGGGGGACTTCGTTTTTTGCATTTTCATCTAGCCACCTCGTGCCGAGCCCTGATTATCGTCATTTGCAACTTATGCCTAAAAACAGAGACAAGAGAAAGACGCTAGATAAGCACCTATTATATGCGCTTCTTTGAAAGCGATTCAAATTTTACGTGCCATGCGCACTATGTGAAATAGTGGAAATTTTCAAGCGTCCAACTTCTTGAGTACTAAACATATTTGTCACAGATGAAGTTCTGATTAAAATGAATATAGATTTACATTTTAGCTTCGCCTTTTTGTCCTGAACTGCCTCGAAAAGGTCTCTTGTTCACCTGCTCACGCTCAACAGCTTGCCGACATTCTCATTTGCTCCGACTATCGTGGACACTATTCACATGGGCTAAATAGGTTGCACGTTTATGTCAACGATTTAGCCGTGAAGTCGACTGCAGCAGAAGGTGAGCAAAAAAGTTCTGCGACCAAATGCTCTGAAGGCACGATCCCCAAATTCGGGATTGGTGAGGTTTCGATGCAGCGCAATAGCGAGTTCTTTAACAAGTGATTGCCAATATTCCGCTGAAATGTGTATTCCGGAAGGAGAAGTCAGTATATGCCACTGAGGTTACCACTCCCATCAACTTGGGCGGCCCAATGATAAAAAGCTCAAAACGAGACACAATAATACCCAAATATATCAACATTGCCTTTTACTGTGGAATTCACATTTTCAACATCTCCAGGTAACTTGGTCTCGGTACCCCCAAGCTAAGCACTCTAGACCACCCACGTTGTTAGGCGTAGCGATCCCAGGAGCATGGCTTCTGGGGCAATTTTTTTTGCTTCGGAATACACCTTCTGCACGGAACATCGATAGTTGATTTATTGAGAGCCTCGCTATTGTACTGCCTCAAAAAATCGACAATCTCAGGTTTAAGTGGACGGTGCACTCAAGGTTAGGAAAATAACTGATTCTTATCTAAAAAATTTCTAGGTGAACCCATCATACTCAAACAAAAAGGGTCAACCGCATGGGTAGACGGAAACAACCTACTAGGACCCGTTGTCGGTAATTTTTGCATGAAGCTGGCGATCCAGAAAGTGAGTGGTAGAGTCGAAGCAAGAATCGCTCAGTGCACAATAACTTTAGGCTCGTGAGCACGGAATTGGCTGGGTGGTTGCAAAAAATTCCAACCATTTCGGAATCGCCGGTTGGTATGCTCAAGCTGCGTTACAGCAGGGCCTCGTGGTAAGTTACTTATAGAATCCTGGGAAATTTGATAGATTTCGTACTTTTTAGGGAATGGCTTTTACAAACACTTCCCCATGCGTTTTCCCAACCAATTCGGCTGAAAAAAGTCTTGGCTCGAATCCAATCTGTTTGGCTGCACCGGCCAAGAATGGGGACTCATTCTTCCTTGACATGGCATCAACTACAGTTGCTTATGGAAAGGTAAATTTCTTGGTTTGTACTGCTCTCTAATCATTCATTCAATGATATACAGATAGAAGTCGTCGAACGTCGAGGTGGAAAAAGAATCCCAAGGACGTGGGGATCAGATGCAAATGGTATTGAGACACAAGATCCCAAGGAAGTGCTCAACGGTGGAGGTCTCCAACCTTTGGGGGGATCAGAAATTACAGGTGCAATCAAGATCAAATTATATAAACCAAGGAACCCTTCATTCTGAATTTCATATTCACCTAGGTGGTTACAAAGGTACCGGTCTATGTATGATGGTGGAACTTCTTTGTGGAATTATGGGCGGTTCATCATTCGGTAAATCGATCAGAAAATGGCAAACGACTGATGAGAACGCCAACTTAGTGAGTTTTTTTTTCAAAATTCAGACCACGTTCGAGAAAAAAGAAACTGATATAATAATTCAGGGTCAATGTTTTGTTGCAATCGATCCTGAGTGTTTCGCTCCAGGGTTCAGCGATAGACTGAGTTGTTTCCTCGATGAGACCAGAGAATTAGAACCGGTAAGCATCTGTTTTTACCTTTTCCAAATTATCCCGCTCTAGATCTACGTAAAGCAGCGTCCATAGTCGCACCGGCGAGTGCCGGCAATGTGTCAGCGCGGTGCTAACGCCGTGCCGGAACCCAAGTAAACGCGTATTGAATTCGATGTTTGACGACAGATTAGTAAGGGCGATGCCGTGACGGCACTGGCACGGACGACCTCCCCTTCCCGATTGTATTCACAAAAAACTGACTTTGAGTTATTCTACAGATCGATCCTGCTCATCCAGTACAAGTAGCTGGCGATCCGGAAAGGGCGCATATGATCATGTGCGATGAGCTTGATGGTATTGTCTACAAGAAGAGCCAACTGAAACACCTGGTTAGTTCGTTCGCATTTCTATGTAATAAAACGAAGTAGCGTTGTTGTTTCAGGAGACGCTTGCCAACAATCTCGATGTGGCGATGTTTAAGGCCAAGAAGATGAAGGACTAATATAATCATAATTTATTATTGCTATCTTGGAATGAATTCTGGGTAAAATTCAACCAAACCCTTATGAAGACTTTGCCAAAAGCTAGTCTAAATGTGCTGAGGAGACACCACAATCTATGCTATCTTACATAAAAATTCCAGACTCCGACGTTCTTGACAATCACTTTTGCTGTAATGTTCTAGAATTACAGAGCTACCTCATTAGATCACGTTAAGTTACAAAATACCGTACATAACCTTTGATCCAAATGGCTTGGCGGCTTGAAGGCGAAGCCTTGTGATCTAATTGAGGCCGATCGCGCCCGCGAAGCAGTCTGCGCCTCTCCCGCGCGCCAGTTGAATTAAAGGGTACCTTTATTAGATGACATCATAAAAAGCTCGACTATGATTTAATTGTGACATAATGCAGAAGAGACAAACTGGAAAAAATAGCAACATTTGTAATAAAATTGCAATTATGACCACCCTGCGCCAGTGGCGTACCTAGGACTTCCGCTCGGGGGGGGGGGGGACAACAGAAAAATTTTTCTGATGAAGGTGCATGACGTTAGCCACGCACTTCGAAAAAACTTTTGGTATGCCTCCCAAGATTTTTCGGTCCCCCAACCCCAAAATTTCATAAAAAGGGGGCGTGGCGACAGCCACGCCCCCGAAAAGAATTTTTTACAAGGCTAATTTGAAATTTTAAAAGTTTTTAAAAATTAATTCAATCATTTACAAGTAAAAATAAGTCGCTTGCACATGTTTATAACATATTTAAGTAATTTTCAAAAATTATATTTAAGCAGCTTTCAAAAATTTCGCGACCCATTGGTGGGGGAGGGGGGAGGGCGTCCTCTCCCCTCGGTACGCCACTGTCCTCCACATACATTTTTATATAGTGGCCAAACAGTTGTTTTCCCAGACATTTGAGTAGATGTACTTGATTGCAATTTACATTGCAATGATTGACGTTTCCATATGTATTGGTTCAATCAGACAATGGATGCATTCCAGGTGCACTTAGCAAAGCGACGTTTCCCAGATAAGAATGATAGCATGTTTAAGATCTTACTTATATACTTGAGGTACTTCGCAGCCTGTCTTAAGGTCAAGTGCAGGCTCCATCAAAGTCATTTTCATGCGTCCCTGTGCTTGCTACTGACATCCGCATCTTCTCGCCGATGGTTGGTGGCTGTGTCCACGAGTTTGAGGTGCGAAAGTAGTATCTAGTTGATACTTCATCCGAACACGTCTGCCCATCTTGCTGACGGCCTTTTCTGACGGTGTTTTGCGCGAACAACCCATTCTGATGTTCTTGGTGTCCATCTCTCGTCTGAACTTCTAGGAAGTGACCGTCCCTTCCGCTTTGTTTTAGCAATGTATTCAACTAAAAACGGTCACAAAAACGGGGCAGCCTTCGAATATCCGTGATGCGGCGACAAGGCGTTACATTTGTTAAGTTATCTTTGAAAGACTGCTTCGAGCGCTCCGTGCATGATCCGTAAAGCTTTCGACGTGACTGCAGTGTCCAGGTCTGAGCTTCCTATCAGAGCGTTGGGAGAACGATTGAGTCCAATCGTGGGCTCAAAGTTGGTCAGCTGGTCGGAGATTTCCTTCAGAGGTTCAAGGCTGCCCGAGCTGCTTTTTTTCTCTTGCCAAGCTCTTTCCTCTAATCTCAGAACTCACCGAATCGGATACACGTAAAATATAGTCCCCGTGAAGGTAATGCTTCCATTCTCGCATCTTCAGAAAGGTCGTACCTCATGATCGAGCCTCCAATTCATTCGCAGTCCATAATGTTCCATGTTCGACTCTCGCTAAATCTTGGCATATAGTTATGAATGCTGTTGTTGCTTAGCCGGCACCAAGATTGTTAAACCGTTTATTCGGCTAACGTTTCGGCTTAGTCGCCTTCGTCAAAGCCTATAAAGCATAGAACATTTTGATTTATCCCATCAAATATCTCATCACTTGCAGGAAAAATCTGATTGTGAGAAATGGACTAGACTCCTGTCTAAACCTAGAACATAGCTCACCTTAGCCGATGAAAGTTATCAGGGACCACCGCTGTTCTAGGTTTAGACAGGAGTCTAGTCCACTTATCAGATTTTTCCTGTAAGTAATGAGATGTTTGATGGGATAAAAATGTTCTATGCTTTATAGGCTCTGATGAAGGCGACTAGGCCGAAACGTTAGCCAAATAAACAGTTTAACAATCATGCTGCCGGCTAAGCAACAACAGCATTTAATCGCAGTCGTTTAATATTTCTTTGGTTTCTTTATCATCGTGTCTGCTTCAGTGGTACTGTTCGAAAACAGAACAATGTTATAAAGGAAGGATGTAGAGGAGTCTTCCAACACTTCGCACGTTCTTGCGTAAATGTTTTTGATGATGATGAACTCTTCGTGGTAGTCCATGACTGCGATAGTTTTCATCTCGGAAAGAAAGAAAGGAAGAAGCTGGAGTCCCTTCTTTGTTTAGTAGCGCGGCACGCAATATTGGCCGAAATTCCTTCAGCGCTTTCTGAGATTTCGTGTTCCCTCGTCTGCTCCCAGTATTTTCGCTTGCCTGTGCTTCGCCAGATCCTCCTGAAAAGCTATATGCAATTCGCGATGAGTAGATCATGATAATCTGCAATCGAGTCCTATTTGAAGACCCTTCCTCTCTCGAGCAAATTCTCAGTGTTCTCCGAGTTGTTTCAAATTCTATTCGAAGCTCATTTACACTCTCAGCAAGCTCGCAATCTTTCAGAAGCCGGTTGGAGTGGTCTCCTCCTCCAGCCTGCGACTGTCATACAAAACTTCCTTCCTTCCAGTGACACTATGGCAAACTTTCTTTTCCAGCTTCCAGAGTACTTTGCTCGAAGGTGGCAGTGACTGTACCGGCTGCAGAGACGGAAACTGCAAAAGCAAGTTCCGTCTGCGGTTGATAAGGATGTTATCATCTCCGCGCAATCGTCAGGTTTCGGGACTTCTTGCCGTGCTGGAACCATATTTGGGCTTTACAGCGCACGAAAATGGCAAAATAACCTTTTTTGAAGCTCTCCATGTTCTCACTGCTGCAAAATACGTGCTAGTGGGCGGGGTCAAAAACAAAGGGTCGAGATCCGTTAGACTTCCAAAGTGCTCGAGACTTTTCTAGCTAACAAGGGAATGGTCAGAAGTCGGAGCGGCCAATCCATACAATCTGCATACCACTAGATGCAGCATAAAACGCTGACTCTAAATCTGTCTTCCCTATCTGCAGAGCGCTTTTGTGGACAAATTTATAAGTCGTTGAAGGCCATTATTTTGCTAAGAAATTGTGCGTGTAAAGCGCAAACCTGGTCGTACAAAGCCATACTAGGCTCAGTGTTGTGTCAGGATGTAGACGCTGTGTAACCCTATAGTTGGATGTAGCTTGCTATCGGAAGCATCCACCAACTGTCCAGCCGTTTACACTCAGTCGCATATATAAGCTCGTGCCAGCAACTAGCACGGCAGTCACCTCCACTCCGTGCAGCCTAGCTGCTCCCCTCCCCCTTTCCTTATCTGTATCTTTATGTATATAATAAATATGATAACCAGTCCTATGTAAGACACCGCTACACACTCAGGTAAGGGGAGTCGACACCCTTGGTCCTGACATGGGCAAGGAATCAGAGCGCAAGGAATCACTTGTAATTAAACATCAGAATGTCACTGAAAACTGTGATCTACAAGATTTTGCGTATGAGTCTCATAAAGCGACAATCATAGTATATTGCCTAATAGCAGGTCCTATTAAGTTATAAGCAGATACTATAGAGCAGTTCCAAAACCTTTTTTTAGCAAAGATTCAGGTGCTTTATGGTTGACTACGAATTAACACAAATGCCCAAAGATCTGAAGCAAGACATTTTTGAGTTTTTTAAGAGGAAAACGAACAACGTTCTGTTCTCAGCGTCGCTTATTTTGCACAGGAACAGTCGAAAACAGTTTTTTTTTACATCTCAGGACGTGTCCCTAGTGATAGACTAAATTTTCACAAAGGACCTGACAAATTTAAAAAACTCTTGTGAATGACTAAATTCTCACAGAGGAACTGACAAATTCCAAAAACTTTGGGAAAGACTAAATTCTCACAGAGAACCTGACAAAATTCAAAAACCCCTCGTAATAGAGCAAAATTCTCACAGAAAACCTGACACATTTCAAAAACCCTTGTGATAGACTAAGTTCTCACGATGGATTTGACAAGATTTTAAAAACGTAGTTATTTGATAAGAATATTATCAAAAGTTTACTGCGTTCACATGGATAATACTACTCGGCGCTCAAACATGCTCTCGTTGATCTAACCTAATCACTCCATTAGGAAAAGCTTGCCGTTCACCATCACTTCCATATCTGATGTATGGGCATGCTTATAGCAGGTAATCCGGATACTTGCGGCAGACTTATTGTCAGTAGCCCATTAGCAGCTCAAAACTACAACTGTGAAGACTGAAGGCATGCTTGCTTGTAGAACTCATAGTAAGTATACCAGTCAATGATTAAACATGCTTTTGAAAAACACTTCATAGAGTAAAACTCAGCAAGAGTTGTGAGCGCCTGATTTGAAAGAAATAACGCGCTATAGTAGCCGATTTTCTTCGCATGCTAAAAGTGCCCTGCAGATACATTCCATCAGTAACAACATTGAAGAGCTTTGAAAAAAAACTTTGAAATTGAATTTTGGATTTTGTTTAAATACGACCGCCGTTTTGTAATGGTTAAGGCCATATTCGCATGAAAAAATTGTTTTTCTTTGAACATATGTGACAAAAAAAATTTTTCTTCAATGTCTAAACAAGTAGCAAAATTTGCAAAGTAGTGAAAGTAGAAATTTTCGAAGGCCAGTCTTCTTTACAAAAAAGTAGAGCCATTGCAGTTACTATACCGGTTTTTTTTCCAATTTCACCATCCTTCCAAAGTTCATGCAACGTTGGCTAATAAGTATAACATCCAGATGGAATCTGTAGACGCACAGCCGTTAGCGTCCTACTGCAACCTCCAAACCCAAAATAGTTTTCAGGGAACTGTCTGTTTATTATCCCAATAGCAAATAAGATACTTCGCCGATGCTAATCAAGCTTGATAAAGTATATGTAGGCAATCTTACATTGGACACTATCCTGCACTCTATTGATGCTATTTGCGACAGC